TACGATGGAGGAGGTAAGGTGATCTCTCTCAGCTTTTCTAAACTCTTGTCTGCACAGGCGTTGGAAGGTTCTATAGTCATCCCAAGAGTTTGTCTGCTTCGCTCTCTTGTACATTCTGGCTTTTCTCTTTACCATCCTTTTCAGTTTGTGATTAAACCAAGGGAGTGATCGTTTGCAGTTGCTGGTTTTTGACGTGATCTTTCGCTCTACAATGTCCATTAATGAGTCTCGCAGCATAGTCCATAGGTCTTGTATATTTGTCCCACACTCCTTTCTCCCAATGATCATCTGGGACAGGTCAGCTATTTCCTTCCTCACTTCATCCCAATTTGCATGTCTAAAATTGTAGATCTTTCTTTGTCGTGTCTTGACAGTGCTTGGCTGTATGTCAATTTACTTTTGTTATGATATCCTATTGTAAATCTATAGTTTAGAGTCTAAGTAGATCTAGACTAGACCTAAATAAAGACAAGTTACTTTAAGTAGAGGCCTAGTCTATAAAGACAAGTTTAAGTAGGTCTAGATCTAGATATCTATAAAGAAAAGTTTAAGTATAAAGACAAGTGTAAAAATAATTGGTACAGAATTTTTTATTGCTGTATTTTTTTCTTTGAGGCAATTAAAAATACTGTTTGCTACTAGTCTAGATCTAGTCTAGTAGTACGGGCCGAGGCCGAGCCGGGTATATTCAACGAATGGCGCGCCGTCTAGTACTACTACTACTAGTAGGCCAGCCACGGCACAACACTACTGCAAGAGCCGGTGTGAATGTGAATGTGATCACATCGCGACAACGAGAAATCAACTAACAATTTGAACTTTAATTCGGTCTAGATCTATATGAATGATAACAATTTTGGTTCTAAATGTATTTTAAAACCATTTTGAGAAACATTTTAAAATATAAATAACCAAGCAAAACGATTAGGCGTTATTTACCGGCACTTTCTTTCTCTTCTGCCTGAGCCATGTCGAAGTCTGTTGATATGTTGCTAGCGTGGTAGTCTAAATGTCAGACCTCACGATGAATGTTTGAACTGAGACCTAAAATTGTTCAATAAAAAAATTGATACGGGGAAATAAAAGATAAAATTTCATATAAATGTGGCATAATTTAAACAGTTTCTCAATGACTGATATATCTTCAAAATATAACATGAACTGAATTTCTTAAATTAAAACAATGTCATTCGAAAGATAAAACAATAAAATTAAAACTAGATCACGAGGCAGATAGAGCAGTTGGCCAATACCATATCAATATACCACAACGCTGCTCGCTCCCACTCCTGGCTCTAGCATACATAATATATGATTCATAATATATATATATATATATATATATATATATATATATATATATATTTTTGGGGGGGTGGGACTTTGGGGGAGTTCCTCATAATTACCCCCCCCCCCCCCCCGCCCGGAATTACCCTCATGTATATTGCGCAATTGTATCCAACATGATTTGAATTGGCTCTATGCTTGAACTTTGCTTTATACCATCATCAGACAGATCAGGGAGATGAGACAAATATACACTCCCTATATACCCCCCCCCCCCAACTTTTTTTGGGGGAACGCGTATGCTCGTTCCCTCCGAGCTCCCTTTGAAAGCATCCCCTATCTCATGCAGGGCTGCCAAAATATCTGGTCCCCCTTTCGCGGGCTTTTCCTGCCTTGAATCGTGAGACCCCCCTAAATCAAATTTTCTTTGATATTCAAGATATTTTATAACCCCCTTTTTACATTCCTCAGGAGTCCAAAGAGAGAGAAAATTTTTTTTTAAAGAAATCTCCGGGTGAAAAGTGAAATACACCCCCTTTTTTTTTTACAATTCTCGGGCCGGTTCCTGTACATAAAGGGGGCTCCTTCATAATAATCAATTTCTATACAAGTCATATTCTCCCCTCTCCTTACAAAAGATTTTCAACCTGATAACTATATTTTAAAAAATATAACGGAGATAGCCGAGCCCGACCGGTAGGTCCCACAACAAGCCGGAGAGGAAATTGAGATATGGGAATTGGTTTCATTTATTGGGTCACCCCTGCTCTATAACCCTTTTGTGAAAAACTTGGAAAATGTTTAATCTTTACGTGGCACTTTATGTATGGAGGCTACATTCAGCCGACCACTGGTGCTCGGCAAGTTGGATGTGGACTATGATCTGTCTCTTTTCTTCCACCTCTAAAAAAAGAGAGAGACTATTTAGTTACTTGATGGCATCAATTGCAAATTCGATAATAATCAAATTACTCAAAGGACTTCATGAATCATTGAAATGTTATCTTTTTTCAGCTCAGCTTATATATATAGCTATTGACAGAAATCAACAGAATAACATTGGACGTCGAAATTAATCGAAACTGTAAGGCCCCGTCCTTCGTAGCACTATAGTGTGCATCTATATCGGTTGATCTCGACATGCTGTATCGTTTTGTTTAAATTAAACTTAATTGATGTACATCAATAATCTGTTTATAAACATGTTTATAAACATAATCGGGTCCCTCTTTATAGTTACTTAAGTGGGTCAATAAAGATGGACCTATATATAAGGGCGGATGCAGCCGGAGGCACTAGGGGGCCACTGAGAGGGCGGCCCAATTCGTGAGAAAAACATTTAGCGGCGAAACAGCCAGCCAATAAGCGGGGGTTAAGCGAGCACTATTTTTTTTTTTTTTTTGTGCTCAACGAGGAGGGAGGAGGGAAAGTGCCCACTAATTTCTTTTAATTCAACGCCCCCCCCCCCCTCAGAGCACCACTGATACACAACACTTTTTTGTTTTGCCAGGGGAGCGGTCCCGTCTTTCTTTTTTTTTTTTTTTTTTTTTTGTGTGTTCTCACTCTCTCAAGAGGTGGCGCTATACCCCTTACATCTCAAAGAGATTCGATCATACCATAGGTGGCTTTCTCATCAACTCAGCTCTCAAATAACATAAGAAATAGAGGATCATGGGGGACCAACAGGCACCGATTGGGGAAGTTTTCTATATAGAGGGAGCAAGTAGCTACAAGTAGGACAGTGGGGCTTAAATGTAAAATGAAAAATGACATTTCCAATCCAATCAGAGCGCCAACGTCTAATTGCGTACCAAATCAAAGGCTGCATGTATGATGAGAGTTAGCCTATAATCTAGGCGGAGTGCCGAGCTTTTTTCTTTGCTGCTAGACTAACCTTAAGCAGAACGTCTGATACGGCGAGACTACGAACCGTGAGCCGCGACTCACGGTTCGTAGTCTCGCCGTATCAGACGTTCTGCTTAGGGTTAGTCTAGCAGCAAAGAAAAAAGCTCGGCACTCCGCCTAGATTATAGGCTAGATGAGAGTGAGAAAGACACTGAATATCATGAAAGACAGATAGTGACGTATTAATATTATTGTAAGCAATGGTAACTAAGGTTATTTTTGGTTTGAAAAAATGTCTACACAAAATAATATAATCATCATTTTCCAGTCCACATAACTCTATACGAAACATATTTTTGAATTAAGGGTTCACAATGCCCCCACTTTTTCAAAAACTTGTATCACAAAAATACTTGTTAAGATTGGAAAACGGTGCCCCAGTTTTACTTTGGATAAGGATCCCTTTTTCTAATGTTGCACATTCTTATATAAGTGCAAGTAACCACCTCTGATAAATGCCCCCATTTCAATCTCACAATTGTCCCTATTCAAATCTGAGAGGTGCAGGCCCGTAGCCAGAGTTTGATGTTTGGGAGCAGTGGCGGATCCAGGGGGGGGGGGGCCCGGGCCCCCATCCCCCCTTTTAGAAAAAAATCATGCAAAATCACGCGATTTTTACCTTTTTGGGGGGTGGGGCCCCCCCTGGCGCTCAAGGGGGGGGTGCAAATTTTAAAATTTTCGAGGACCCAAAAAAAAAAATGTACTCACTACCCCCCCCCCCCGATTATTTTTTGGACTCCAAAAAAAAAAAAAAAAGTGTCCGCTTACCCCCCCCCCCCCCCCCCCCCCCACTGAGCGACTTTGCGGCCGGTGCAATTTTCAAATTTTCGGGAGCAAAAAAAAAAAAAGTTGGGCCCCCTCCCCTAAGAAATCCTGGATCCACGCCTGTTTGGGAGGGCCCGGGGGGGGGGGGGGGTGCACATACATGTAATCGATCGACGTCCTGTGGAGGGGTCTAAAAAAGTTCAACATTTATGTTGGAATTTCCCCGTGCCTGGAGAGGTGCCTCTTTTACTTTGACAAATGCCCCAAGTTCCTTTGAAAGCCTGATCGAAGTACCCCTTCAACATCATCATCCATGATAATGATATCACAATGTATATGATATAAAGGGTATATTTTCGCTTTGAGGTTTTTCTTGGTCGGTGCCCTTTTCCGGAAAGGGCCCCTTTTGTTAGTGCCCGGCCCTCCCCACCCCCCCCCCTTTTTTTTTTTTGGAAGGCGCTCCATCGCCCCTGGTTTGGACCTAACACAAATGAACTTTCGTTTAATTAAATTCCCTTTGAACATTAGTTCCAAGTTTGGAATCAGGTAATTGATTGGGAATGCATTGGACTGGCGGTTTGGCCATTAATGATGCTATATTTACTTCACCCTTTTTTTTCCAGACGCGTCGTATCGGCAGAAAAGGTGCTCTATTAAAAATGCAAAGTTCTGAACAACACGCCAGAACGGCGATACGTACTCCGCGAACTACATTATTACTCCCATAAAGCAATGCGACAAAAGAGTGGCTAGCTAGCTAGCTCTGTGCAGCCACGCCACCATTTGTTTTTGTAACCTCATCGCTGATTGGATACATTTTTATTATCTTGTATTTCAGATTAATCAAATTAAATTGTTTTCTCGACATAATAGACCTATACGATAGATTATATTGATATTTTATAATACTTTTTTTTAAATGAAATAATTTTGAAAGTTTTTATGATTTAAAACAAAATATTAGGAAAAATGACAAGAAAACTCGATAAATCGAATATCCAATCAAAGGACATTTCTCAAATCAAGTGTACTTAGTTTGTCATTACGTACTAGCATGCTTGCGTTCGCGGTACACTTGTACTGCGGCCCCTACACTGTCGATCCAATTTCTTGAACGATTTAAAGCACCATTTAATATTCTGTGGTCAAAATTCTGTGATTTTATATCTCACTGGTTAAGCCCGTACATATTGAGTTTAAACAGGCAAAATCAAAGGTGATAAAATGAGTGGGATTGAGCCATCAAAATTGAAGGTCGCCGAGCTTCGTGCGGAACTGCAGGCGCGTGGGCTTGATTCCAAGGGAGTGAAGGCTGTGCTCGTTGAGCGATTGGAAAACGCTTTGCTCGATGATGCTGAGGAAGTTGGAAATGAAGATGAACCGACCGAGGCAGAAGGAGATGACAATTTTGATGACGATGTAGTAGAATTGGCACAAGAAGCGCTCCCAGAAGCAGAACAAGGATTTGGTGATGAATTTGGAATTGGATTTTCAGGGGATCAGGAAGGCACCGGCCAAGAAGCTGATGATGATCTCTTGCAAGAAGGTTCGACATCGATGGACATTATTTTTAAAATGATTATTAATTGAGATGTGTGAAAAAATATTACATGTAATGTAACTAATCTATCAGTAAAAAAAAAGGGGGCGCTGGTCCGGGAATAAGGACCGTTTGCGTAAACTCGAGTCGGACAGACGCGTCCTCGAAAAAATAAATTAAGCCAGGGTCCGCATTTCTTCGGCGCTTTGCCAGTAGGGGCTGGGCGCTGGTCCGAGAATGAGTATGGTCCTCGTAAACGAGGATGTCATGAACGCGTACAAAATGTGTCCTAAAAAATATGGATTGTCTGTATTTTTGCGGAGGATTTTTCATCGGTGCTCTGCGGGTTTCGGGTTATTTTTGAGGATGAATTGGTCTGCAAACAATCCTTATTCTCAGACCAGTGCCCCTACTGTCGGCAGGTGTAGGGTTTCCGATCTGCGTGCTGGCAATGCGAGAAAAAAAAGGGATTCCGCGTAATTAAAATTCCCCCAGTTCGCTGTCTTCTCGAGGATTAAACATTCATAACAATCGTCCGCATTTTTGCGGACGATCCTAATTTTAATCGTGCGTCCGTCTGGGTTTACATAGATATCCTCGTTAACATGGACAATCCTTATTTTCTGGCAAGCGCCCCCATGATACATACGGTGCATGAATGTTACAGATGATTATGATAATAATTAGTATAGACTAGACGTGATTTAAATTACTCAAACGGTTGGTTTCGGTTTAAATGCAAAGGCATGCAGTATAGGCTATAGATCTATAGCATTGATAAAAGCAAATGGGTAATGTCAAGTTATATCTTTTTTGGTATGTACCATTTCACATTGCGAAATTCACTGATGAAACGTACACTGCCAGTTCTGTTTCTAATTGAGCACTCATATCGTGAAGATACTGAACTTGTGATTATCTGAGGATTTTCCTTGTGTATCTTTCTGTTCAATTCTGTTCAATTTGAATTGCCAACGGAGAAGGAAAAAAATTGTCATGTCAATTGGATTTATGCATATGTAACTTGTTTCTCACTTTGTATGTTGGTTGGTTGGTCTCAATTTTTCCCCTTGTTACAGGTGAAGAGGGTGGAGATGACCAGCTCTTAGCAGACTTGGAGATTCCTCCCGCAATGGAGGAACCAGAAGCTGAAGCAGCACCTCAAGATGTTGATGAACCCCAAGAGGAAGAGTCTATGCAACAAGAGGTGGAAGCTGTGCCTCAAGTCACAGAAGATGCACCACAAGCAGTGGAGGAACAGGGGCAGGATGAACAGCAACCAGAAGGCATGGAGCAAGCAGTAGAGAAGGAAGGGGAAAATGGAGAGCAGACTGGGGATGGTAATGAAAACTATATGAATTATGAAACACATACCATGTGAATTGTCTTATTTTAGGAATGTACAATTTTTTACGAAGTTATGTTCCATAACAAACAAACAAATATTTGTATTGATACAAGTCACATAAATCAACCTGGGTGTTTTTTAATTTGTACAAGAATATCAACTGCTGCTAATTCTTATAAAAAGTTGTTTCTCTGTTTAAGTTGAATAATATTTACAACTCTATCATGTTTTATCATTTCCAGGAGACAAAAAAGAAGAAGACAAAGACAAGGAAAGGAAACGAGACCATGAAAACAGGAACCGTGATCGCCGATCTGGAGGCAGGGATCGATCTCCTAGAAGAAGGTGGGTGAGAGTAAAGGAGACTTGTTTGGATGTCCAGTGATGATACTTTCACTGCCAGTTCTGCTTCTGACAAACATGAAGATACTGAACTAGTGTTACTTTCTGAGGGCATAAATGATATACATGTAGTTGAGTTCATGCTCCAAACACTTGCATGTTTAGTTTACCATAGCTCTTCAGTGTTTTAATCAGTCAATTTTATTTTATAATGGGAAGTGGCTTTGAAAGCATTGGCTTTCCTATCTTATTTATTTTCATTACTTGTCCTTGTACTTCACTACCAGATTCGTGCATTTAATTGCAAATTAATAGAATTTAGTTGAATTTAGAATTCATTATAATTATCATATCTAGGCAATTCGTTTTAGAATAAGATTTTTTAAAAAGGCTTGAAACATTGTATATATAGACAAGCAATTTGAGAATAACACACTATATATTTGCTCTTACATTTGATTATTCAGTGATTACAGTATGCTTCTCGTGAGATTTTATATATTTATAAGAATTAGGCCTACTCTAAATGTAGTTATAAATCTCCCCAAGATAAGACAGGAATGTCTATACCATTGAAGAGGAATGGTTTGAAGCGTGGACTTTTAACTTGGCATATTTTGTTTACTCTCAATTCCAATTGTTCTAACTGGATTGGGGATTCCCAGATTCCAGGAATTTTGAAAGGTCCTGGTTTGCACACTTTACAGGAAGCTGGCTATGAGGAAGTGGACACATTCATTTCATGATTGGTTCACTCTAAATCAAATTTATTTAGTATTAGGAAATGCATTGAATGCAATGTACCAGTAAACCAGGCTAACAAAGATTTTCTCATTACTGTTTTCAGAACACCCCCTCCTGTGACCATGGAAGAAGATGATGATATTCCAGACACACAGTGTGTGCTCAGCAAATGTAAGTTACTTCATGATTTATTCTAGATTTATATCAGTTTTAGTGTATCCATGTAGAATTAATTGTAATGAAGATGGGACAGGAATCTGCATGTTTGAAATGAAGCAAACATTAACTGATAATGGAGGCATAATAGTAAGGCTGTGCACAACAGTGTAATGAGGTACCCTAGTACACTCCCAGGCTCACAAGCGAATATTCGGACGCCATGTTTTTTTATAATTTTTTTGAATTTTAAAAAAAAAATTGAATTTTTTTATTTTTGAATTTTTTTGAATTTTTTTTTGTTTTGTTGCCACTACCATACCACTCGGCAGTTTCCCAGGTCCCTCGCCGAAAACGCATGCAATTTTACTTTGAGTTGAAGGCGCCGATTTAATAAGAATAATAACAGTAAACAATGCTGTTTTAAAAACCAAAGATGGCAGAATAATCCATTTTCCTCCAAGTCCAACAGAAATCTGGACATTTGGTCCCAGTTTCTGAAAGGTGAGTTTGACAGTGCTTGAGTTGGGAAGCATTTTTACCGACGGTACCATGCCAGCGGCCGTCGCTCTCCCTGGCACGGGTAAGCGTGGGCTGGACATTTTTTTTTTTTTTTAATTATTTTTTTTTGCGGCCGAATATTCGGGTACGAGAAATCGTACCCGAGTAGTTGGCAACCGTGCGGGTACTCGAGCATTCGACTACCCGTCGCAGCCTTACATCATAGTATTTAACCCCTTCTCTCAAATTTTGCAGGGTATGAGGAAAGATGTTATGTTATACCTTTTATGGTATGTACCATTTCACATAGCTAAATCCACTGATGAAACGTACACTGCCAGTTCTGCTTCTGATTGAGCACTCATAATCGTGAAGATACTGAACTTGTGTGACTATCTGAGGATTTTCCTTGTTTAGCTTTCTGTTCAAGCTCTGATACACTATAGATGTTGCCGTGTGCTTTTTTATGCCTTCACCTACCAGCTACACATGTTTTTTAGAGTTGTTTAAAAGTACAATCAATATTAGTCCATACTTAAGGTTAATAATGACAAGATATAAAAAAATTGGAATGAAATTACAAGCTTCTATGCTATGTAGTGATGCGAAGGGCAAAATTAGAGTTTGGTATTACTGGTTATATTCATTGTGATGAAGGTGCAAGTTATGGACTATGACATGTAGTTCTTTGCATTCAACGCCAATTTTCATTTTGTGGTTTGCCCTTTTATTTGTAGTTGGAGGAGTATAGCATCTTGAGTAAGTTATTATATAAGTGCACTTTATAAGTATATTATTATTTTAACGCTTTCGATTTACCTTCATTTTCTTTGTAGACCTCTCCGACTTGAATCTGAAAATTGGTAAGGATGGCTACAATATCTGTCCCCTCAGCATGGAAGGATTCGCATACATGTGGGGAGGAGTCAAGGCTACCCATGGAGTGAACAAAGGAAAGGTCGCATTCGAATGCAAGGTTTGTTTTCCCAAATACTGGTTATGGTAATATGTAATAAATAGAACAGTCAAATATGTCTAAGTTGTTTTTCTACAAACAAACATGCACATATATTGTTAAAGATTCATTAGGTGGTTTGCCATTTAGTTGTAGTTGGAAGAGTTTTATTTTAAGTAATCATGATGTCCATGCTGTTTATGAATCCACTGATGAAACATACACTGCCAGTTCTGCTTCTGAATGAGCACTCATAACCATGAAGAGACTGAACTTGTGTTGTTATCTGAGGATGACCTGTTTTTTCCCCATTCCAATCGGCTTTTTTGCATCTCTGATATTCTATTAACAACAATGTTATTTTTCTTTTTGTCTCATAGCTGGAGTCACAAGCTGATGTACGTCATCTTCCCCCTGAAGAGAACAACAGACATGTTGTCCGTGTAGGATGGTCCATTGACGCTTCTTCTCTTCAGTTAGGTTAGTTCATTTCCGTGTAAATAACTCTTTTCAAGTGTAATGGTGGGATATTCTACAAGACCAAGTATTCACTTCCTTGATCCATCGGTGACTTGGAGGCTGAAAGATGTATTACTCAATATATTGAACTTGATAAGAGCATTATTTCCTGCGTGGAGTTCATATGTTTGGATTTGTGTAATTCTATGATGAACCGTACACTGCCAGTTCTGCTTCTGATTGAGCACTCACAATCTTGATGATACTGAACTTGTGTCGCTATCTGAGAATTAGGTAACTATCCATAATAAAATAATTCAAAGAAACCATCAATCTAGTCATAAGAGTCATCTGAAATGTCCAGTGGAAAGAAAGAAAACTTTTAAACAGATTGGTACTGTTCAGGGAGAAATGAAGAAAGTATTGATTTCTGAACTCAATTTAAAGTAAGCAAACTTCTAAGAGCTTGAACATGAATTTTTTTTCTTCTATGTTTCTACAGGAGAGGAAGACTTTTCCTTTGGGTATGGTGGAACAGGAAAGGCATCAGTCAAATGCAAGTTTGTGGACTTTGGAGAGAAGTTTGGCGTGGGTGATGTCATCGGGGCGTACGTGGTAAGTCCTCAGTTGCTATTGACTTAAAATTTGTTGAGGATATTTTAATATGTTTGAAGAGTTTAAAGAATTATGATATATCTTGCCAAGTATAACTTGAGAATTTTAGCGGTTTTATCTGAGAATAAGGTAACAATGATCTGTCCTGGTAAGTGGGATTACTTAAATATTGTATGAATTATATGAACAATTTTTGTTGTTTAGTTTTCCCTGTAATGCATATGAGGAGCGAAATGCCAGTATAGGGTAGTGTCAAACTTACATACTCTGACAATGTTCTAACCATGATATGATAATTTCTTACAGGATCTAAATTACTGGGAATAAAATTCAATTATTTTTACCAATCAATGTCAACATAACGACAATTTTTAACAATTAATTTGCTTTTGATTGCAGGACTTTGAAGGAGAGAAGCCTACCATCTCGTACACCAAGAATGGAACTGACCTTGGTGTTGCTTTCACCATTGAAGAAGATCTGAATGGTCAAGCCCTGTTCCCTCATTTCATGGTCAAGAACATCTCAGTTGAGGTCAACTTTGGCCAGAAGGTAGGAAACAGCAGCAAACTTGAGCAAAGCTTATTAATTTTGTGCAATCAGTTCTTTTTTTCAACTTTAATTGAGAGGACTCAATTCTACACTCCCAGTTCTGCTTCTGATTGAGCATGAAGAGACTGAACTTGTGTTGCTATCTGAGAAGCGAGTAAAAAGAGAACAGAAAGAGAAATTAATTTAAATCTGTTTTATCTCTGCTCCACTTCTGGTGTCATGTACCCTTCAGGATACTTCTGATTCAATACTATATGTGCCATTTTAGATTACTTTCTCTGTAATTGTTGTAGTACAGGGGACCCTAAACAGTCTGTTATTTGTAAGTTTTATTTGCTAGTCAAGAATCGTTGCAGATGAAAAAATGCTTTCATTTGATTCTAATTGCTTTATTTACAACTTTCATTTCGTTACACAGGAGGAGCCATATTTTCCTTTGAAGGAAGGATTCTCTTTCCTAGGTCAGCTACCCGCCGAGGACACAGAACGTGGACCTAAACCTCCTGCAACCAAGAAGGATTGCGAGGTAAGTCTTCACCATATGGGGTTTTATGATCTCTCCGGAGGCCAGCTCCTTCCATTCATGTATTCTCATCTGGCGTTCTGATTATTTTATAATTTTCATATTTATGAAAAATATGCATATGCATATGCCCCCCTTAAAAATTTGCTTGCCAGTGTAAAGATCTTAAATTTGGGGGCTTCCCATTTAGAGTTGTGAAGCCTCATTTAATATAGAATTGCAATTATTTATATGATTGGGAGAGGGGGTTGGGGGGATAAAGAGTGACTTTATTATTGTTTGCAAATTTTGGGTAGGTAAATCGGCTATTAGTAATGTCCATTGATGTTACACTGACAGTTCTATGAATGAGCACTCACAAACATGAAGAAATGTAATGATTGTTTTCATCTAGGTTTAGGGACACAGAAATCCAGTAAATAATCCAGAAAATAGTGGTTACCATTACCTTTGATTTGTTATCAATTTATCCAAAAGGTGAATAAATGTGTGAAGAGAAGATTGGTTATACAAATTATTATATAGATATTACCATTGTGTACAAAATGTGAAGCTCTTCAAGTATCAACATGGTCTTAGCTGGTTCTGATTTCAACAATAGAACTTGTTGATATAACATGCAAGGCATTCCAAGAACCACATGTCATATTTTGTTTTGTTTTTTATTTGTTTTGTGTGTGTATGTCTTGTATATTGTGTTTCTGTTAACTTATGTTTGACCTTTACATGTGTAACTGTTTTGTTTGTTTGAATGTGGTTTTATATGTTTGTATCAGTCTGATCAATAAAATGAAAATAAACTTTTAAAAAAGTTAACACCAGTCTACAGTATGTAGAGTTACTAGAGTAATTGAGTTTATAATGTAATTTTAAGATATTGTTACCGTCTGCCATTTGCAATAAATATTAAACCACATCAGAAGCCATCTGTATTTGGTTGTGAAGACTTCATTTCATGGTAAAGCTGCAAGAGTGCTGGTTTTGAACTAAGAGGAAAGTTGCTCATCTCTTCATGTGACATTGATGGCTGTGTGGGTACTCTAATATAAGCCACTGATTAGTCGCCAGTGGCACAACTAACCCATGATTGCACAGAATATCACACTTCTGATGAGACCGGATTCATGACCATCACTCCCATCATGAGCACCCAACATAACACCATCATTCGTGTCGGCAGCAACTTACCCATGGAATGAACACCCATCAACCCATCTTTTAGCTAGCTGCTGGTCAGCCAATATCCTTTCCCATTTCCCAGAATGTTGCAGTGCTGGTAGGCTTTGCTGATGAGTGGAGCCCTTGTATCATACCAGTTAGTCATATTCTGGAAGGAGCAAGTGTCCAGCATACATTTGTTACTGTCTTGTGGAAGGGATCTCTTCTTCGCGGAAAAGTGCTGTCTGTTCTGCGTAAGTGCTTGAAACTTTGAAAGAGCAACAGCTTCTACATGGAATAATATGGGCATATTGGACATATATCACCACAATCTCAAGCTATTGGGATAAACTTGATCAAAATGAAATGTGGGAGGGGGGTGCTATTTCGTTTTCATTGGAATGTCAGAATAGAATGTCGGAGGTCACATACTTAGGCACTCTTCTATTTCTACGAGAAGTTTAGGTGGATATTTTAAAAGTGTAATGAATAAATAAGGGATGCCAGTTTTCCGGCTATGTTCATGACGTCTTTCCATTCAGGCTTTATATTGTACAGCACATATGAGACTCCAACATGTCTAAGTCTCTTTATCAGCTCATTATGTGAAACCAGCTGGATATCACTAATTGTCTTGTATAAGATCATGAGTAGAAGAACAAAGCTTCGTGGTCTTATTTTTAGATGAGATGCATTATCATTTCTAATATGCAGGCAATGCAGAGGATGTTAAGATGCTGGTCCAGTATCTTCCATGTCCTGTCTCTCTTGAATGCAAGAACAAGGTGTGTGTTTGGAGCTATGATGCATCCAGGAATTATACAGAGATCATTTATTGCTTATCTGTTACACACATCACAAAATTGAATAATATTCAGTCATACCCTATTTTCATAGTTTTCTCTTTTTATAGGGAAATAAGTTGATTTTTTTTCCCTTTTGTAAATCAAAGTTTTTTCATAGGTTTCCAGTATTATTTATTCCTTAAAAGGTAATAATGAAGCAACAAGGACAATATATACTAAACTAGTACTGATAAATGAAAGTGTAATAGTATTTAACCTGTCTCTCAAAGTAATGTATTATGTACCATTTCACATTGCTAAATCCACTGATGAAACGTACACTGCCAGTTCTGCGTCTGATTGAGCGAAGATACTGAACTTGTGTGATTATCTGAGGTTTGTCCTTGTTCTCTACAAGCTCTGATACATAATAGATGTTGCTTTGTCCTTTTTTTTATGCCTTCATCTCTGAAGGTGGTGCTGGGGAAATTATGTTTTTGGATTGTCCGTCAGTCGGAACCATTGAGCAAATGTTAACCAAACTTGGATCAAGTGTGCATGAGTATGCAAGGATGAACTCATTAAATTTTGGGTGGAAAAGGTCAAAGATAAGGGTCATAAAGTGTTCAAAACTGCCACGAAATATCTGGTTACTGTGATAACTTGAAAGCATTAAAGCAGTTCAAACCTAGCGTGGATGAAGTATGAATGAGCATACAAGAATAAATTGAATGAATTAATACTATCTTATCTTGTCCTATTTTCGTAGATGACTGAAGACATGTTCCTGAGTAGTGATGATAGTGTTAGTAAGACTTTAAAGAAATTGCTTGAAGCTCGTTTAAACAATCTCTACCAGACTTCATTTTGCTCAGTCAAGCACACACTAAAACAAAATGCTCCCTACCAGGCATTTGACACTCTTAACCCAAGGTTAAGCCTCCCAGGATATTACCAGCTTCAAGAGACAAATGCAGCAAATTGTCACGAACCAAAGGAGGGTTGTGGGGTTTTGGAATCACTTATAGCAAATATAAAAATGTTAAACGGTAGACTTTCGGTAGCTTTAGAGCATAGTAATGAGGTACAGGACGTGTGCCATGATCTCACCACGATGGATAAGAAGTTGCAAGTACCCAAGAAGAAGATGAAAAGGCTGTCCCCAGGATCAGCAGCAGGTATTCCGAGAAGAAAATCTGCTGGTAAAAGCATGAATCGCTCACCAAGACCATCCTTTGTGTCTCTTGACCAAAGCCCTGATGCCCCTCCTCAACCTAAGGCCACTACTAAGCCTAAGGCAGCACAAAGGAAGGTTCATTCTTCCATGATTCATTCCAAGTCGGATGAAGTTAAAGGAGGAGCAAGGGGGAAACCGTCCAAGGTCGTGTTGCGCAGATCAGAGGTGGAGAAGATCTACAAGTCTAGTACTAACTACCGAGTGTGTGCACTACGTTTGGCAAGAAAGATGTTCCCAGGCAAGAAAGCAGGTTCTCGGCAATCTGTTCCGACCGAGTGTCCCAGGATGTTAGAGGTTCGGCATCACATCTTTGAACTATACAATGTTCCTGCTGCAGAACAGGATACTGTATGGCAGGAGTGTAGACAACTTCTCGACCAGTCTTTCTCATTTGAGGATCTGCAGCTAGACTGTCTTTTTCCGAAATGCCCCAAGCTTGTTACTTCTCGTGGCAGAATTAATTAAACTTTAATAAAAGCAAGAAGCTTTCTTTCAGGAAACCAAAGTTATGTTTTGTGTGAAAGACAGAGATCTAAGCATTTGGTTTTGAAAACTGTATCCTGGTCAATGTGTGAATATATATGTGTTTGTGAAAAGTTATTCATGTATATTCAGTTTGTTTAATGTGTGCTTGTTTGTTAAATCTTCCGTCTGCAAAGAGAAACAGTTTGAAAATAGTACTTGTAATGATGTGTAGGAAGAGGTTGGCTGTGATGTATCGTTTGTAGTTTCCTTTTGTGTCTTCAATATTATATTGAAAACAGAAACATGATTCAAAATATCATGTCAATGGAATAACTAAGAAGGTCGATAGGCTTGGTATCAGTAATATTTAAATATACATGTATTGTGCCATAAAATGATGGTAACTTTTTCTTTTGAAGCAATATCAGAAATATTAAGGTATTAATGGAAATGCAATGAACATTTTTAAACCACTCTGGTAACGGAATGGTTTATTATAAACTTCACTCAAGATATTTGAGAGTAATTTGTATTTGATGTGTGTTTTTTTTGTGTGTGTGTGTAGTAGTAGTTGTTTCGTTTTTTGTTCTGTGATCCATACAATTTACATTTGTTTCTAAGCATCCCCCCCCCCCCCCCGATTACTGGAATAATATTCTCAAAGATTCCTGAGTACCTGTTCATAAAAAGACCAATAAAGTTAGCCCCTTCCTTTATGGTTTCCTTTGGACATAAACAGTGCCCACTGTGACTTTGTATTACATTGTAGTTGGTTCATACTGTTTGTATGTTTGAGTGACTATACGTTGTTTGTTCATGGTGATTAGCAAGATGGATTATGCCATGGCTGTATATTAGGGTTATTATTCTGTTATTTTTGTGTTTATAGTACCCCATCTTTGACAGGATATATCATTGATTTGCCATTATCATTGTATATTGAAATGTATTATTACTATTGTTAATCATAATTTTGTGCTGCATGTCCACAAAGATTGTTAGCATACCACTTGTGCAAAGAAATAAAATCAAGTTTAAAGAAATTATTTCTTGTGTAAACTGTATTTTGAATTGATCATTCAAACACTTACTAATAATTCCATACAATTCAGAATTTTTAAAAAAACTTTATTCATTAGAAATAAAACATTGGTATTGGAACTATCAACAGAATCAAATAACAAATCTACAACTTTTTGGTGACACTTTCCTAAACATGGAACACACATACCTACCAAAATACTGCTATTCATCTCACATTTATTGATTTATATGGCCAAGTTCATCAACAATTTCATACCATGCTTGTTGTTTCTATCATGTTTCTAATTGTGTCCCATTCTTTTTTGTGTAGCTGCTGATGATGGTGGGTCTGCCTGGCTCTGGCAAGACAACATGGACCATCAAGGCTTGCAAGGAGATGACCGACAAGAAGTACTACATCCTTGGTACCAACCTCATCATGGATAAGATGAAGGTAGGTCAAAATGTCAAGCCGAATACAACCATTGTATCACCAGATCCACTATTAATATCTGTATGGGTGAAAAGGCCTGTGGAATGCTGGATCATTCTACATGTAGAAAGAAAAATTTATGATTATAGTTCAGATTGAAATATGGGAGGCCTATATGAATATTTGTGTTTCATAGGATTTTTTGTATACGCAATGAAATGGTTTTCTGCTGTTTAAAATAGTTGCAGTTTATGTTACCTAGGAAATACATGTTTGTAAGCTCTAATCGAAATATTTATTTAGGATTTTACCGTTAAATATTAATGGAATTGCTCATTAGTTATTAACATTAACCGAACTGTTTACAGGTGATGGGGCTCCGCCGTTCGCGCAACTATGCCGGCCGTTTTGACAAGTTGATGGACTTGGCTACCAAGTGCTTGAATCGATTCTTTGAAGTTGCAGCCCGGAAGCGCCGTAATTACATTCTTGACCAGGTATGTCGTCAAACTGGAGGTAGAGTCAGTTTCATGCTGAACTCCTTCCTTGCCTTGTTGCACAATGCTGAAAGATTACCCCAAAATGACTGAAATTCTCAGTGCATTACGAATCAATAAAACATACCTCTTGTAACATAAGTGAGCGTGCCATTGGTTTTACTTAAACAGTAACATTTTGGAGTTTAGATTGAGTAGATATTTGTAGTGAAAAGTACTTCATGCATTATTGGGCATTCTTTGTTATTTTAATTTTTGAAGAATAGCCTTATTTGGTATAATTTTTCTCTCTTGTAGAACTTTCCTATGTAATTGCAGTTGAATGATATAAATGATTATCGTATCAGGTGATCAAATGCATTTTTTTACAACAAAGATATGCTTATTTTAGTGACTCTTGAAATGATGACATCACAATGCTTCAGCAAAATGTCATGTATAATGAAGAGCAATACTACAAGGTGCAAAAGCAGAGCCATTTCTGGTAGTTAATGATAATTGATTTGTGGCTTGGAAGAAGAAAGGTGAACTAAAACAGTAAGGAAGTTCTCTGATGCTACGATTCTTCATGACAAAAAGTAAACTTGCATTCAAGACAATGATTGTTGCAGGATTAGATGGCAAGTGATACTCAATGCGATACGCAAGGAAATTTTGGTCTTTTCTGAATTCTAGAAAAGTAAATTAATTTCAACATACCCTACAGGATATGAGCAAATGATAGTCAGTGTCAAATTTAAAGAGGATGATTATAACCAAAGTGATTAGTATGGATGATTAGAGGAAAGTTGGTGAAGATTCTTTTATAATTGAGATTATATCAATGGAGCTAATGACTGCTACATGTAGGTAAAGAGATGGACCAACTTGGCTTGGAATTGGTAATAATTTCAATGGGGTTATGGTGATTTGCCTCCTCCAAACTAATACAAAATTAGTAAAAGCCACCATACCAGAGAAAGGAGTTTTGTAAAGAGTCCATGTGAAAAATTAATTATTTTCATTAGGTATTAATGAATAAATATGATGGCTAAAAGAAAATAAGTAAAGTAAATTTTTCGCAAGCATGTGAAATCGTGCATACTTGTCTATTTTTTTCATCTTTCAGCTATGGATACAGCAAATATAGAGATTTAAAAATTAGACTTGGGTATTAAGAATCTGTAGCAAAGGGTTCCTTGTCCTTGTTGGATTTGAACTGGTAGTTTTGGAGAAAACATATTCATGACTTATCTGAGATACACCTGTCATGAATGACAAAGTAGTGTAGAACTGAGATTTGGATTACAATGGTATTCAGACGTACAAATTCAATTTGACAGTCAAATAATAGAACTGCAAAGAAGTGAATATTTCGTCATATCAAAGGCATTATCTTTGTTGTTGGCTCAGCCATGGGTTTTTTTCGCATGCATAATGGAGAACTGTTTTTGTTTTTCATTTGATTAAATGATTTATTTCAAGTGATTTCAAGTGATATGTTTTGATGTTTGAATTATAATATGCCTAAGAATGTAATAGCTCTCTTAAAATGATGTGTGTGAATTACTCTGATTGTAGTTGAACTAAGTCATAGTATATTTTGTAATTATGTTAAGTATCACCAATGGCATCTCAGGTTAAGAGGTAGATTTGAAGATTTAATGCACTTTCTTTTGTATATGTTGGTTTTGAAATTTCAGTCTTGTGCACAAGGCAGCACTACTAACCACTTCTTTCTTTCAGATGGGTTTGTATATGGCATCAAACTATTGTTATGACCATTTGAGTAACATGTATGGACTTATCATTACAGAGAATTGAATGAAGATGCGGCTTTGATAGCCCATGAATGGAATCAGAAATAATCACTATTATTCTCTCCTACTCCAATGCTGCTGTCAGACAAATGTGTATCCCTCCGCAAGAAGAAGAAAAATGCGCCCTTTTGAGGGTTTCAGCACCAAAGCAATCGTATTAGTTCCCTCTGAGGAAGAGTTTAAGAAGCGGATCGAAAAACGCACTAAAGAAGAAGGCAAGGACGTCCCGGACCACGCTGTGAATGAGATGAAAGGTAGGGATCAGCCAGTAATGGCTCAAACAAATGTAATCACCCATCGTCTTACTCTCTCCTAGAATTAGCCTGTAAAGTGTTAATGTAGGAAACTGTACAGTAAGTGTAAATTAGTAATCTCACAGCTTCATGTTGTACTATTTCTGTGCACTAATTTTCTTTATCCTTTCGTACTAACCCACACTCTAATTTATCTAGCCAACTTTGAGCTCCCTGAGAAGGGTGTGCTCTTTGATGAGGTGGAGTACATTGAGCTGAATGAGGAAGAGTGCAAGCCCCTGGTAGAGCGCTACCGTAAAGAAGGCAAAGAGGCTGGAGGACTCAAACCTCGCTTTGACCGTCGTCCTGGTGGAAGAGACTTCCGAGGAGGCTATGACCGTGGTGGATACGGCCGTTATGACGATCGACGAGGAGGCTATGGTGGGGGCGGTGGCTATCGCTCTGGCTCTGATTATGGTGACCGTCGTGGAGGCTATGGTGGTGGTGGAGGAGGAGGTGGATACAGAGGAGGCTACCGTGAAGGAGGTATACCATCTATCCTACTTTTGATTCAATGACTTATCTACAGATTGTGCAGTGCATCTATATTTTCTGATTTTTAATTCAACATTGATTGATGGAGGGGGGGGGGGGGGGGGGGGGGGGGGGGTTATTAAATAACCTATTCATGCAGGTGAGCCCTAGTGCTAAAATGTACAATTTAATGATAGTGCCTTGTGAAACTAATGCCTAAGTATAGAGAGTGTTCAAATTTTAGATGTGTATCCAAGTTGTTTTTGTTCTGCAGATGCAGTCTGTTTTAAATGGTAGAACTATCAAGGTATTAATTACACAATACCAGTTGTCTGTAAACAGATTCCAATCTCCCAATATTGTGCCTTTGTTGGAAGTTCAAATTGATACATTCCCTTACTATATGTTTAGTATTGTGTTTATATGTTCTTATGCTTGAAGTGATAATAAATATCCTATCACAAGACATCATTGTAAGCGTTGTGGAGGTGGATGGTGGTGGAGGTGGATATAGTGTTTGCAAGAAATTATCTCTATCTAATCTGCTCATTTTACTTATCTCTTTCTTCAGGTTGGAACCGTGGAGGAGGCGGAGGTGGTGGATATGGTGGTGGACGTGGCGGCGGTGGAGGATACAACAGTGGTGGATACGGAGGCAGTGGTGGCTACGGTGGTGGACGTGGCGGCGGTGGCGGAGGAGGAGGAGGATACAACAGTGGTGGATACAACAGTGGTGGCGGTAACCGTGGAAGCTCAAGCTATGGAAGTGGTGGTAGCAGCAACTACAAGGGCAACTCAAGCTCTGGTAGCTATGGAAGCCAGAGTAGTGGTGGAAGCTATGGCAATCGTCAGAACCAAAGCTCCCAAAGCTCCTACAACAAATACGGAAACCAGGTAATTTTATGTGATTATGGCATTGAGAGGGAAAACTTTAATACTTGTAGAATATGAGCTGCTCATGGTTGTATGACTAGACCCTGTACCTATAGATTCCACAAGCCAACATGCAGTACCTCTTATTGGTGTTTACCGAAATGAAGATGACTGGAAATTGATTGTCTAAAGAAAAGAACCTCGTTACAGATTTTTATACCAACTCCTTTTTTATATTGATCCTAAATTGTAAATTATAGTAATGTATTGTGACAAGTACATGTAGTTCAGCGTATTGTACTCATATATGTATGTTTTCATGGCTATGTTCATGAATAAGTTGTATTTTGGATTTAAAATATTTTAATCATATATTATTTGGTATTTCTTCCTCACAGTCCAACTACCAACAGAATAAGCAGTCAAGTTACAACCAGCAGTCTACCTACGGCAGTGGCAGTGGCAGTTCAACAAGCAACTATAGCTCAAACCAAGGCTATGGTTCCTCAAACTACAGCAACACTTCAGCCGGGTATGGTAGTAGCAGTAGCAGCAACACCACTGCCGCCGCTGCCGCTCCCGCCAGCACCGGCTACAACCAGGGCAGCCAAAGCTCTTACAACCAGTCATACCAGCAACAGACCCCACAACAAAACCAATCAACCCAGCAACAGTACGCCAACTACCAACAGCAGTATCAGCAATACTACCAACAGAACCCTCAGTATGCCCAACAGTATGCTCAGTACTACGGCAACTATGGCAACTATGGAGGTTCTGGGTCCACTCAGTAAACGAGGTGGTCAAAGAACAAGGTTGGGATGATTATTCATGAGACATGGGTAGTCCGTCCAAATCTTCGCTCTTTGATTTGTTCAGGTTTCTCTGTGAGTAGGTTGACCTCAATAAGTCTTGTTGATTTTTTAGAACTTGCATGATATTTTCTGACTCTTTCAAATGTATATTTAGCAAGATATGGATATCTGTGTATTGTACCCCACTAGAATTAAAAAATCTGGATGACAAACACAATAACCTATAGAATGAAAAATGGTGTAAATATACAGTTTGAAAGGAAATTGCAAAAAGAAAGAAGGATAAGTGAATACAGTGGGTAACAGATTCTAAAAATGTCAAATATAAGACAGTGTGTAAATAGTAATAAAATGAGGGAGATTATCAATGTTTGTATTTTTAAAATGTTGTTTTATGGATTGAAACGTTAGATTTTGTATTAGTTTATTTTTAATTTTTGTTGGATTTGATTTACACACAAAATGAAACTTTTGGTATGTCAGTGAGGTTTTCTGTCCATTGTGATATTTGTTTACTAGTAATCATGAAAACAATTTTGCATTCTTAATTAGTCTCCATGTGTCCGTTTTACAGTTGAAAAACATTCCGACATCAGGATTTGTTATGAATCTAGTCTTTGCTTCTGGATACACACCACTACACATTTTCTTTTAGTATTTGATAAATTGTGTGTCATTTCAGTAGATTTACAGCAGCTTTTACTAAAAGTGATCCGGAGGTAAAAAGTCAAACGGTGAATATCATTGTGCTGTATATGATGTGTTGTGTTTTATGTGTACGTTATTGAACCAGTAAGTCATCATATCTGTAAGAAGTTAAAGCAGGAAATTGAAGTTCATGTTTTTAGGTACTCCCTCTAGTGAAAATATAATCAATATATATCGCACATATAAAAGAAGGGATTCTAAGATTACAAAAAACTTATAAGAGGACTTCATTGAACGTAAAGAAATCAACAACATACACATCAATAATAGAGACATCAAACCTACATGTAAATACATACTTTCATGTTAATGCAATTACTGCTATTTGAATCTTATTCTTGCCTTCACTTTGAGAAGAGCATTGGTTCTATGATGATTACTGAAATGTGTTTCTTAATTTTGTACATACATTTATTATGCAAATTTGATGAAAGGAATGTTTTGTTAGATGTAGACTTGTTGATTATCTCAATCCATCTACCATGCTATCTCAGGAGACAGAAGACTCTTTCCTGACTTAATAAATTTCTGAACTGTGAATTTGCTGTTGTTTTGTCCTTTTAAATTGCTTTAGTGTGAAGAAATGTTTTAATGTGATATGAAAGAGATCAAAGGTGGTTTCATTGATATGAAGCTGAAAATGTGCTAGATAAACATACAGAATTTGACATACAGGTACTCCCCAACAATTATGAGCCTCAAAAATCTCTCTGTGTGGCTCAGTGTACCCGTTCACATTTTTGTTAAATTAACTACAATTCAGGTACATTTGCTTGTGGTAATCAATGATGCTACCTTTGAAATGTGATATATGCTGCTGTAGCAAGATCGATAGAAGGAAAGAGATGGGAGGGGTAAGATCAAATATTAGCTTCCATACTGTAAAACCTCAAAATGGAACTGCTGTAATTGTTAATGAGGGCCGCTTGCAGCAGGCAGCTTTCAGTAGTATCACAAAAACCACCTCGGTGTTGGGATAAGTTTTTTTTTGTGGCAGCTATGGATGCTCGCAACTTTCACATGGTTATGTACATGTCATTGTTTTTGGAATTTCAGTACTTGAGAAATGGATGTAGATGGATATTTGATAGAATTGGTGAAGGAGTGACCAGGAAGAGGGGGAGATATCAATGCATGTAGAGGGACAAAGAGAGAGATAGTGAGGGAAGAGATGGAGAGGAGAGATATAGGAAGATATTTTGAGTGAATAAAGGAGAGAATCAGATAAAGACAATGGTAAAGATAAAAAGAGAGTGGAGGGAATCTAGTGTATCTTTTTGTTTTAGACTCGTGACAATCCCTCTTTTTCATCTTCTGTCAAGTCACCTTTTTCTCCACATAGCACCACTGTCTCATCTTTCTATTCAATTGTTGTCAGTCTCTCTCTTTTCCTCTCTCCATCTCTCTTACCTTCACTCCTACCTCCTCCGGTCTCTTCATTCTTTTTATTATTTGTAACCCCCCCCCCCCCCCCCCCCCCCCCCTCTCTCATCCTCTCTTAATGGCATCGTTTAACAATGTTAAATCTGAGATGCATGGCCCTACGTGTTATCGGTGTCTGTGATATGGTGTAATATTGAAGCCTAAACAAAATTGCACTTCAAAATGATCATGAAGTGCCTCAAAAAAGTAAAAATCTTTGAGTGACAGGTTTTATCACACTCATCCCCAATAGACAGTAGTGTTATGAAAACCGTTAGGCAAAACGCTAAATTTGATTTCGATTTCCAATCACAAATATCTTGATAATCAGACGGGCCATCGGCTTGTAAAAGTCATGGGGTTCCTGACTGACCTTAAGGTTTATAATTATCAGAATCTGAGACAAAGTTACCCAATCCCTTTGAGGCTATCACACATCTCGACCCATCTATGATATTAAAAGAATAAGCACTAGTTATTTTTTCCTTCACATTCTCCATGTTTGTACCCAACATCTTTCTTCTTTTCAATCTCTTGGTTTCTTCCCTCATCCATAATGCGCATAACAAGACTCCCATCATGTCTATGCCTCACATCCTCCCTTTTTGTACATCTATGCTCTAGCCCCCCCCCCCCCCCCCCCCATCTCTATCTCTCCTCTTTTTCTCCCTCTCTTTTCATTCTCTTCTCCATCTCTCCTCCCCATATCTATCTCTCCTCTTTTTGCCCCTCTCCTTTTATTCTCCTCCTAGTCTATCCCTCACTCTCTCCTCTTCTTATCCCACATCTCTCATTACCATGTCTATATTATTTCCATCTCCATCTATCTTTCCCATTCACTACTCTCTGTCTCACTTCCCTCATCATTGTCTGTATAATTCACTTCTCTAATACTGTCTCTACATTCTTTTTTTGTTGTAATTAGGAATAAGGAATTCAATCCGAAGACAACCAGAATATTAACATATAACGTAATTATATAATTTTTAATTAAGTTCTATTCTATTGAACTTCTTCAGATTTGAAGCCTTTCTTGAGAATGACATATTTGAGACATAGCAAATAAGGAAAACAAAAATTATTTTAGCTTTGACATAACCAGAATCTTTCTGAATTAGCGAATTGCAAAACAAACATGCAGAGCTAATAATTGCATAATAATGGAACAAAAATGAGGTTTACACTTGTATAATGGCATTAGCTTGCATTGTGATACCTTACATTAAAGATAAATTTGAGTTCTGGTTAATAAATAAATAAAGAATATAGAAAATAAATTCTCACAGAATCCAACAAAAGTCACACTGAATGTTCAACATTACAAATAAATGACATATGTCAAACAATTTTGGTAGAAAATACATACCGGTAGTGGCTGAGTAATGAATGAGCATAGAAAGATAAGGAAATCTGGGTAAGTAGGCCCTACATCAACACTGGTCACTATGTGCAGATGGGAGTTGTGTTTTTTATCGAAGATGATGCCCAGTAAGTTTTTGTGCGTTTCTTTTTATTTCACTGGTTGAAGAAAAAAAAATCTACTGCAGGATAAATAATGCAGAATAAATCATCAATTTTCTCTCAAAATACGATTCCCATACCAGAGTGCAAGATTAGCTTTAAACTCCAAATTTACAAATACCAATATCTAGAATTTTGAATTTGTTGCACCCAAAATGCTCCATTGATAACTAGCTGTCCACACGGCCTTCTTGCATAAAAGTCAAGTTGCAATTGGTCGCAAGTCAGATCAAATGCAAATATCATACGCAACTGCGCATTCCATTAAGAGAGTTGCGATTGATTTGATCATATATTTATCATAAAGTTGCGTTTGATCTGGAAAAGTTGCACTTGAAATTATGCAATCGCAAAAATGTGTTTCATGTTTTTAAGGACTTGTGTTTGATTTTCAGAGTTGCGTTTAAACGTAACTCTTTATGCAAGAGGGCCCAGGGTGAAGAAGTCCTGAAAAATTGCATAGCCATGCGAAAGTACAGTATTTGTGAAAAAATATCTCGGCCAAATTCCCTCCTTCTGCAATCATATTGGGATGATCATAAAATATAAAACAATTACCAGGTAAGGATTATTGTGATCAAAATTCTGTATCACTTAAGAAATTGTCTCTGGCTACAGGGCCAGGTTAATTACTATATATTCAAATACATGTACATATACATGTAAAATACAACCGTACACTAATTAGTGCTTGATTCAATACAATTATTTTCTGATTATCAAATATTTCCAATTTCATTTCTCAATAGTTTACACCTCCATTGTTGAGCAATGGATTTTTAACTTTGTCCTCATGACACATTTCCTAAATATATAATTTTTATAGATTAAAAAGAATATTAAAAAATACACTTTTGCACCATCAAATAAGAAGTTTTTCTGATTGTCAAATACAACCAGATGCTGGTGATTGTACGTCACGGACAGATACAGATATAAATGAGCTGGAATACATATGCTTGGATACAACACACACATTAAGAATGTTTGCCTGTGATATAAAAATTGATTCTTTTAAACTTTAGGTTTTGAAAAATATTAGCTTGGGGAAAAAAAGTCACAATGCCCACATGCACAAATCTCCAAACATTGCATATACACAAGTAGTTATCATATGAAAGGCTATGCATTTAAAGCTTTCAATTTTGGTCAGTCATGAAATATAGTATTAAAGAATAGGATGAATCTCATGTCTGTAAGATCAGTACTGACTGGTTATTTTGCTTCTAATTAGCTAAATATATTTGTCAGTAATTATCTCTACATCTCTGGAATGTATACTACCACAATTATGATTTTGTCTTTATTCTTAGAATTGGTGGATTCTGCAGGAGTGTGAAGTTTACTTATTAGTTATTCTTTTTGTTTCATATTGAAGAGTCTTAAGCCATTGCCTACATGTACAGGGTGGATAATGTATTAAGTCTATGGGAATAAGATATGGTAATCTAGTAGTCACCGGAAAAAGCATTTCATTCATAAAGAAAGTCAGTTACCATCATTTTATTCCTCATTGTTTACCATAGAGCACCTTTTACAAGTTGTTTGGTCTTTGGACTAGTAAAACCTATGACAAATTACACATCATCTGGAAATCACAAATAAAGAAAAGCGCATGCACACATTTTCACTGATCATGTAATTAAGTACATGTAGTACACATTTTGACACCTAAATCATCCAGATATCAATATCTTTTTGTGCATACTACAGGTATATGGCTATCATAAATTGTCTCTCCGCATTATTTGCCTTGTACTATCATCTATCCATAATCCTCAACATTAAGCATACATTTTGTGGATTATGACAATTAAATTTTGGTCATTTACAGAAAGACTACCAAGTAGTCTTTCAAATCAAGTATTCATGATGATTGTATCAACACATAATCATATTCTACTTTTTCTTTCAACTGTTTACTGCTAATTTAATATAATTTAGCTTTAACAAAATCCCATAGAGTGTTTTTGTTCTGTCTTTTTTGTTCTTCAGGATTACAATTCTACCAAAGGCAACAATGGTTTGATTTTAACAGTGAAGATATATATACATGTACATAGAAATTAGGCTAAAATTATTGCACATGAAAACAAAATCACTGCAAGATTGGATAGATTGATTACCAAATCAATTTGTGCTCTCATTGCGAAACATCAGTCATTGACTATGGCTAAGATGACTTATATATATATGTAGAATGATTTACTTCCACTGGAGTTTTTAAATGATTGAAGAGGTATAAGGTTAAATGCAAGACAAAAAGAAAAAAACATTATAATAATAAAATTAAATAGATTAAAAATCAGGGAAGCAAGTCGATCAATTGTTTTTTTACAATCTTACAAATTTACCCCATTCTTTAAAAAAAATTAAGGTAAAAGAGATAATTTTATGATTTGTTTTTCTTCTTCTTCTAGACTAATAAAGATTTTGTGTTTGTCCTTTCAAAGCATCTTACTCCATGAACCCTTTTCAGACAAAAGGCAAGATAACGCACATGTAGATTGAAACTTGATTAAAATTAATTTTGAATACAAAATGAAAAAGGCAACAATAGAGTTCCTCTTGGAATGACTATTATCATCATCATATGGAATGTATATTTGATTGATTGATTGATTGATTGATTGATTGATTGATTGAAATTTATTCTGTATCATATTGTTCGCACAATAAAGAACATAGTTGACAAAGGCAAATTATGAAATGAAACAGGAACCTACTGGAAAGCATAGATTGTTTTTGTAGGTTCCCAAGAATAAATATAATATGAACATTTTCATAAATCATTTTAAAGTGTCTTAATAATCACAGTAAAATAGATATAATATAATAAAATATTTTCATAAACCTTTTAAAGTGTCTACATAATCAAAATATACAATAAGACAAGACATGACAAAACAATTCATAACAGGACAAACAAGACATGACAGGACAAAACAAGACAAAAACAAAGCTGCACACTGTAGAAGAGAGAGTGTGAAACAGGGTGAGATGTGAGAGGTCTACCCATATCCTAGAAGTTTAACCTGTAGGAGACATGTATTTTTGTATTAAATTCTTTTTTGAAACCTCTACTAAAACTATAATTCATTAAAGGTTGAGACATATGAGGTGGTCTTAATCCAAGATTTACTTCTTCCTTTGAGGATGATGAGTGTTTGTGAAGCATGTGTTATACCTTGTTGTGTTCAGAGCTTAGCAACATTGTATTAAACGCTTTATAAATGTAATTTATTATTATTATACAATAATATTCATATCACTATGCTTTGAATTTAAATTTTAAAAATAAGACTACATAAAAGAAGGTCATTCAGAAAGTTTGGTACATAGAATGCTGTCATTCCATTACCTGTAATAAAAACACTTTCTTTGAAGGTAGGGTAGAAAGACAGGAGATACCATTGAATAGTGGTTGGAATGTGAATCGTAACATTATAGGATACATTTGATATCCATTCACATCTACATCTATCCATTCTTCAGAGGATGTTTTTCACTTATGGCACTTCACTAGAGCTAACGGGTGAATACTGCACTTTGCCGTAGGTCCTGACAGGTGGCCTGATCCTGGGGGCCTTCGGTGATGAACACTTGACAAGGATGATGATCACACAAGTTCCCAACGATACAATGAAAGTAATACTCAAAGAGATAAGAAATACACCAATAGGAGGCACAGCTAGCATAGAATGTTTCAGAAAGTTGGATATGTCCAAGGTCCAGATACCTGCGAGAGGTGTGGTATTGGAGGATGTCCGAGCTTGTTGACCATCAAAGAGAAAGAGTGTGTCATTATAGGTCCAAGTCATAGGGTCCAGGTGAGGACCATGCAGTCCCTGGCACGCTGCTGTCTGGCAGGCGCTATCAAGTTGCATCCATGACTTGGTTTGTAAGTCATACGTCCATGTATCCTGCAGTGGTTTTGTGTCGGACATACCACCATGCATCCATATATTATGATCACTATCGATCCATGTACCAGCATGTGTACGACATGATGGCAAGTCCCTAGATGCAGTTTTCTTCTTTTCAGTAGCTGCTAATGTTATCAGGCAATTATCATTAGTTTTGCAGTCAGAGAGTAGTGGTGTCCATTGAATATCTTTATCAAGTAACCATATAGAATACATAGCGAGTCAATCAGCTTCAACTGATCAGAGTTGAATGTTAATTATTTTGATCAGCAGGTGCATAGAGAATGATAAACCCTCTCTCTGAAGGCCACAATGGATAGATTGAAACATTCCTCAAGTCTGGTACAAGCTCTGACTGGGCTTTCTTTGTGCCAACCCTGGTTGGAATCTTTGTCCAACTCTTATGGTCCCAATGATACTGCAACAATGTTGTATCAGACTTCGCCTGGACAAGACCAAAAAGGTCCTGTCCTGAGCACCAGAATCTTGTAACATTACCTAGCAAGCTTTCATACCCCACTTCCATTTCCCAAGTCCCTGCATCTGTATCATATCTCCAAATATTCTGGCTTAAAGAGCCTGACGTGAGAATTCCTCCAGCAAGAGCAAGGAATTTCCCCTGAGAGCACAAAACTGCACGATGTCTCCCTGCAGGCCATTTTCTTTATTATGTTGGATTTGGGTCCAGTTCATGGTCTGAAGATCTAATCTCCAGAGATGATCCAGGGTAGACGTCTTGTTGTTCAGCGTAGCTTGTCCTCCAAACAGCCAGACCAGCTCTGCAGTGGAGTCTAGCCAGTTAGCTGCACCTGATTGAGGGAATGAGGCTTGCTGGTGATAACTATCCTTCAGTAATATGTTTCTCCAAACTGTAACAAAACAAAAATGATCAAATGAACATTAGACAGTTTTTGATAAAAATAGACAACAGAAAGTGAGAGATCTTTTGTAGAACATGTTAATGTGGTACCTACACCTACAAACATGAACAATGTACGTTACATATACTTTTTCCTTCAAGTTTGGGCAAGTTACAGAAAATGAACAAGCATTGTTACTATTTTTGTATTGACTGGAGTAGGTCTACTCGGCAGAAGAAAAAAATCTGTGGTTTGGGGAAATTCTACATCAAATGGAAAAACAAACAAGATTTCTTTCTATATTAGTTTTAATTTCTTGCAATTTTATTTATTTTTCAGATGCACACAACCAAAAGCTCTTCAAAAGCAACGTTTCATAGCAGAAAATATTAATCTGGACAGAAAGATTTGAGCACAAAGAAATGAAAGTTAAAACCTGATGGCAAGAAATGAACCTCTCAAAAACAAACTAAATGGGTCTTGTTTTGTAAATGTATGCTTACCTGGAGACTGAGGCATTCCATACGATGTCTTGATGACATCCATCATCAGAGAGAAGGCAAGTAATGTCTGAAGCTGGGGGATCAGTTCTTTACTTGTCATCAGCATCATTGTGATTGTCTAATTCTTTTTCCTTGTCATCACATTGTCTTATCAGGCAACAGGAGTACTTTCAGCCTACAATAATAGCAATGCTTTCACAGGCATACTATTTTTGTTTTGTTCTTCAGTCTTGATATGATCTTTTAAATACACAGGATAGGAGTGATGTGATCACAACCTTCGAAGATGATCCATAAATAGGATAAGAGTAGATGACTGTCAATGGAGATATATTCCTGCCTCTTAATTTCATGAATTATAACTCAGCATCTTGGCCATTCTCTGGAAAGTAAAAAATAGAGGAAACATATAAAGTGAAATAAGATGGTGCATGTAATTCAAAATGAATGAAGTACAAAACACAGTACTTTTAATTTAGAAAACAAAATTAGAAAAAGGCTGTTACAATGCAGAAAGATATATAATGACCATCAGCATCACTCATAAGATGAACTCAATTTTGTTTCCGATTACTACTCCCAGTCTCCTGCATTTTTTATACCACTGGCAGAGAATGCATTTGATGTGAAGGCAGTGAAGCATAAAAAAGTGCATACAATACCCTTCTCTTCACTCCTACAATATAATAATCTAACATCTTTTTATCACTTATGGCAGCAAAATGATGTCAATTTGATCTTTCAAAGAATATCTTCTACAAACTCTTAAATAATGTTATTATTTAAACACTCATGCACATTTCTTGACAACCGGCTGGAAACTCTTGTTTTGATCAAATATCTTGAAAGACATTGTCTTACTTTTGCTTTGAAGTTCACACGTGACCTTTATTGGCCTTGTTAGAAACTATGTAAGATTATGAAAATCTGATACCACCAATGGAAAGAGGAACCTAACATAACCCAGAGAAGAAAACGTCTTTGGAATAGGGTGTGAAATTAGGAAAATACTGACAAAATATATCTTCAAATCTTGTAGTCATCTGCGTTCGTTTCGGAAAGATATGAACTTACCCACAAGGGTCTGGAAATGTTTATTTTGAGAGCAGATGTCATCAAAATTTTAAGTAAAAAGTGATACCAATATTTTGCCTTGCAAACTGAGCAATTATTTTATATTGAATGGATCACTTTTTTTTGTTAAATCAGCTGTAAAGCTATACATTTTAGTAAATAAACGAATTAAGGTCTCATTGTATTTATTGACTTTTTTGTCAGTTGCAGTGCATTCTGATCCAACATTGAATTTTGAGATTGCGAATATGAACTCCAGAATTCTACAAGTCTCAACTCTTGTCTCTTGACAATAATTTGGTAATAAATTGAATAGAATACAGTTGTAAAGAATTATGAGAAAACATGGATCAAATATCACATTCCTAACATTTTTCTTAAATCCTCGCGGAGCTGAGGCGCTAACCTTATGTTAACTCATCATATAATCTAGGTCTAGCTAGCACTATGCCGAAAGCTTCAGTCTCTATAATCGTCGGTTGTTCCACTGAGACTACGTCTGGCTCCACTAGACCTCCGGTTATAGAGACTGAACGACTGCCTATGCCAGCCTGTGTTGAACTTACTCCGCTAGATTTTAGCCGCTAGGCCCCTCCCACAAACTTGCCACGGCCGTATTGTTATGCCCCCAAAATCCCCCAAATGTCATTTTACCTCGTTCATTTCCAATTTTAAATTAGGCCTAGGCTATATAATACATCGGTTCTACTTACTAACTTGATTGATATAATCCGTTTAATGGTCCCTTTTAAGGAAATTATCGGTCAAAATCGACATCCATGTTGAAAATCTTGCAAGCCGTTCGCTGCCGTCAATCTCATCCCTTCTAGTCTACGCCGAAGGCAAAATGATTATGAAGGAAAAACTGTGATAACGCCATTACGAACGTGTAGATGGCGCACAGTTTTTCCTTCATAATCATTTTGACTTCGGCGTAGACTAGAAGGGATGAGATTGACGGCAGCGAACGGCTTGCAAGATTTTCAACATGGATGTCGATTTTGACCGATAATTTCCTTAAAAGGGACCATTAAACGGATTATATCAATCAAGTTAGTAAGTGGAACCGATGTATTATAGCCTAGGCCTAATTTAAAATTGGAAATGAACGAGGTAAAATGACATTTTGGGGGATTTTGGGGGCATAACAATACGGCCGTGGCAAGTTTGTGGGAGGGGCCTAGCGGCTAAAATCTAGCGGAATAAGTTCAACACAGGCTGGCATAGGCAGTCGTTCAGTCTCTATAACCGGAGGTCTAGTGGAGCCAGACGTAGTCTCAGTGGAACAACCGACGATTATAGAGACTGAAGCTTTCGGTCTAAGCTAGCACATGCATAATCACACGAAGAATTTACGTATTTGAACAGCATATATTGTAACACGTGGGACCGTTACAAGCCAAACCTTGTCATTTGTTAGCATTTTCTCAACTGACATCGGGCTTATTAAGCGAAAGCAAATATAAAATGAAAATTATTGGCTAACGAAATTTACTAGACTTACCAAGGAATTTTACGAATGGAGTGAAGGATAAATATTATGGCAATCCATCCATCTCGTCTCACAATTCGGTGTCCGTTTCGTGTTAACAATAACAAATCAGCTAAATGTGTAAGCAATGAATAGCGCGCTCTATAGCTCCAGAAGTGGGTGTGGTCTTACTAACTGTGACACAGCCTACGAGATGATAATCACACATTTCGGGATGTAATATTGTCAGTGAGGCAAAATGAATGTTGAACTATTTGCTAAGAATCGAATATTTACAATGGAGCACTAATTGTCACTAACTAGCCCAGCTAAGAGACCATCCTGTCAAAATAAAACTATAATAAAATAAATAAATAAATAAATAATACATTTAAAACTAGATCTATAATAAAATAAATAAATAGATAATACATTTGTCTCATGTATACAGGCGCGGATCCAGGGGGGGGGGGGGCCGAGCGGGCCTTGCCCCCCCCCCCCCCCCCCCCCCCCGCAAAAAAAAAAAAAAAAAAAAAAAAAGAGAGAAGAAAGGAAAAGAAGGGAGAAAGGGAAAAAGGAGAAAAAGGGAAAGAAAGAAGAGGAAGAAGAAAATAAAAGGGGGAAGAATGAGATCGGGGGGCCGAAAGGGCCTTGCCTCCTAGGCTGTTAACCCCCCCCCCCCTAATCAAAAAAAAATAAGAGAGAAGGAAGGAAAGGGAAAGAAAAAGGGAAAAGAGGAGATACTGGCGTACTGATAGGGGGGGGGGGGCGCTTGGGGGAAATCATATTCAACCGTGGTTTATTTCTAATTCCACAACGGTGGATTACAAATACTGCTGAAATGACATAATTTCCGAAAATTTTTCCTCACTTTTTAGTAAATTATACGTTTGTATGTGTTTGTTGGAAAATGACAAATTCCTAAATTTACAACCAGGCAAAAAATATGATTCTTGAGATTCCTACATGTCAGGGCCCGAGGTACGGCGGGGATCGAGAGCCTCGAGCCCCCCACCACCCCCCCCCCCCCCCCCCCCCCCCCCACTTTTCTTGAAAAAGTATTTTAAGGAGAAATGAAATAGAATGAGAGCAAGAAAGTAAGAATAGTTAACTGCCAGTGTTAACAAAATAATGAGGCATCAACATAGCTCATCTGACCGTGATTAAATGCCTAAAACCCTAAGCTTCCGGGGGCTTTGCCCCCTGGATTCCATTTAGGGCCCTACGGCGGACCCTTAGATGATCATCTGACGGTAATTTAATACCTAAAAACCCTGATTTTTTGGGGCTCTGCCCCCTGGACCCCACGCCAAATAGTGACTTGCCAGTGTCACAAAATAATAAGGTATACACAAAAATATGCTCATCTGACCTTAATTAAACGCCTAAAACCCCTGAGCTTCCGGGGCCGGCTCCGCCGCCTTGACCCCACCAGGGGCCCTAAGGCGGGGCCCCTGAATGCTTATCTGACCGTATTTATCGCCTTAAAACCCCTGAGCTTGCGGGGTCGGACAAGGTATCAAGATGTGTTTATCTGACCGCAGGCGCGTAGCCAGGGGGGGGGGGGGGGGCGGTCCCCCCAATCGGAAGAGGACGTAGGAAGAAAAAGGAGCAGACAAAGAACATATTGATATTCAGACAAGGATTAAGGGTATAGAGAACGGTACAACGTCGTTTTCTTTTCTCTAATAATACTACGTCAAAGCCTCGCGCAGGAGGAGGTGGGGGGGGGGGGGGGGGGGACTGAATTCAGACGAGCATTCAGAGGCGAGAACGGTAATACGAATCTTTAACGATTTAACGAAACGTAAAAGCTTCTGCGCTTCGCGCGGAAAAGGGGGGGAACTGAAATCAGACGAGGATAAAGAGTCGAGAACGGTACAACGAATCGTCTTCTTTCTAATGATTTAATGAAACGTAAAAAGCTTCTGCGCGCGTCGCGAGGGGAGGGGGGGGGGGCAGGCGCGGATCCAGGATTTCTTAGGGGAGGGGGCCCAACTTTTTTTTTTTTGCTCCCGAAAATTTGAAAAATCGCTCCGGCCGAAAATTCGCTCAGTGTGGGGGGGGGGGGGGGGTGTACAGAGCACAATTTTTTTTTTTTTTTTTTTTTTTTTTTTTTTTTTTTTTTTGCTCCCGAAATTTGAAAAAACGCGCCGGCCAAAAATACGCTCAGTGGGGGGGGGGGGGGGGGGGGGGGGGGGGGGGGGGGGGGGTAGGTAGTGAGCACATTTTTTTTTTTTTTTGATCCTCAAAAAAATTTCAATTTGCACCCCCCCCCTTGAGCGCCAGGGGGGGGGCCCAACCCCAAAAAAAGGTAAAAATCACGTGATTTTACATGATTTTTTCTCAAGGGGGGGGGCCCGGGCCCCCCGGGCCCCCCCCCCCTGGATCCGCCACTGGGGGGGGGGAACTGAATTCATACGAGGATTAAGAGTCGAGAACGGTACAACGAATCGTCTTCTTTCTTTAATTGTTTAATAAAACGTCAAAGTTTCCGCGCTTCGCGCAGGAGGGGGAGGGGGGGGGGGACTGAATTTAGACAAGGATTAAGAGTCGAGAACAGTACAACGAATCGTTTTCTTTCTCTAATGATTTAATGAAACGTAAAAGCTTCCGCGCTTCGCGCGGGAGGGGGGGGGGGGGAACTGAAATCAGACGAGGATAAAGGGTCGAGAACGGTACAACGAATCGTCTTCTTTCTTTAATAGTTTAATAAAATGTCAAAGCTTCCGCGCTTCGCGATGGAGGGGGAGGGGGACTGAATTTAGACAAGGATTTAGAGTCGAGAACAGTACAACGAATCGTTTTCTTTCTCTTATGATTTAATGAAACGTAAAAGCTTTCGCGCTTCGCGCGGGAGGGGGGGGGGGGGAACTGAAATCAGACGAAGATAAAGGGTCGAGAACGTTACATCGAATCGTCTTCTTTCTTTAATAGTTTAATAAAAACGTCAAAGCTTCCGCGCTTCGCGCAGAAGGGGGGAGGGGGGGACTGAATTTAGACAAGGATTAATAGTCGAGAACTCTACAACGAATGTCTTCTTTCTCTAATAATTTAATAAATCGTAAAATTTTCCGCGCTTCGCGCGGGAGGGGAAAAACTAAATTCACACGAGAATTATTTCGAGAACGGTACAACGAATCGTCTTTCTTTCTCTAATAATATAATGAAACGTCAAAGCTTGGGAGGGGGAAACTTGCCCCCCCCCCCGCATTACGTCACTGTTGGTCACCATAACGTACCAATATTTGGCTCGCATAATTTCAAATTTGGGCCCCCCTAAGAAATCCTGGATCGCGGCCTGCATGTATACGTACCCTTGTCTTCGCATTTCTTCATTCCGCTCATGGTAAATCCCCAGGCCTCCCCCCCCCCCCCCTCCCACACTATGTCATGCACACTCGTCACTGCAGTGGCTGAACCCACAGGGAAGCAGACCTACCGTTTAGATCCTGCCCAGATGCCATCGGCGAGACCCCTCCTTCCATCCTTTTCGATCATTTTCCCAAGTTGTCATGGTTTTTGCAAAGGCAAACGAATCGTTTGAATCTGCTCAGTGCATGTGTTGATCCTTGATGGCCATTTTTTTAATCGAAAAGCCTACTACAAAATTCTTTCAATATGGAATCTGTTCATACTCTGTAAAGGTCACCGAACCATTCATTGTTATTTACTTTGTGGTTTGTTTGAACAAAATACTGTATGTTGTTCAGGGTTGTGTTTTGGTTTATTGGCGATTAGTCAGTAATTTGACTATTGTCACCAAAATACTTTACGGCACGTGTTATATCTCTCATTTTTATATTTTGAAAAATATATTTATTTCGTTTTATATTTATCTATTTTTTAAGATAGTATCGAAAAATAATATCGTAAGCAAAACATTCATGGGCTTTGTTAGTGCATGTTCTTAACAGTACGTGTAGATTATTTGTTATGTCATACACACCATACATAAATATGTATATAAGATATTACCTACATAAGCCTCTATATTCAATAATCTTATCATACCATTTATCATTGTTGTTACTTTTTCTTATTTATTTTCTTAGTACATTATGTATTATATTTTTAATGTACTGAGTGTAATTTAGCATATTTATAATATTGTTTTACTGTTCTTATTTTATTTCCTTATTACATTGTGTTATTATATTTTTAATGTACTGAGTGTAATTTAACATATTATAATATTGTATTATGTTTTACTGTTCTTATTTTATTTTCTTATTACATTATGTTATTATATTTTTAATGTACTAGTGTAATTTAGCATATTTATAGTATTGTATTATGTTTACTGTTCATCAAGGGAGGTATTACTTCCTGATAGGGAACCGTTTCGTTCTGTGAACGAACCGTACTACAGCTTTTGTATACTGGACTCACTCTATTTTAAGTATTCCATAATTTTTCCGGTTGGGATTCGTTTGTTTCTGTTAAAAACATAGCCCTTTCTATAATATAGTTAGGGCAATGTACTAAAAAAAAATGTTTTACAGTCTCTATTTCACTGGGGCATCTATTACAGAAACAGTAGCATGATTTCTCAATCTAAGGAGATCTTGGTTAAGTCCAAGGACTCCAAAGCGGAGTCGATGAATTGTTGAATGTTGTCTCTCTAATGAACATATATATGTTTATTAACATCTTTTTGAAATGTTTTCAAATACGAGTTGGTTTTGTTCCACCTTTCTTGCCAAAGGAGTTTGGAACTTGTAATAATTAAGCTTTTCATTTCTGACATATTTAGATATTATTGGCTTCTATTTTCTTTACTAATGCGGCCTTTGCGTGGAAATCCGCCATCTCGTTCCCTTTTATTCCACAATGTCCAGGTATCCACTCTACGTATATATCAATTCCTTTACTCTTTAAGTGAGTAGTCATGGTGAGAATTTCCAGAATAAAAGATTCGTCCTTCTGTTGTTGTAATGCAATAAGTGCACTCAGTGAATCACTAAAAATAACAACCCCCACATAAATATCTAATTCATCTACCCATCTGAGAGCAAGATGATGCCAGCCCATTCAGCCCTGTACGAAGAGGTGAAATTGCTAACCTTTTGCTCCGATGTACAGAATAATAATGGACGTAAAATGCAGCTGCAGAGGTCCCTCTTTCAGGTACTTTTGATCCATCGGTGTATTATATGTAATTGAGTCGCCCATTTAGTATGTATGATTTCCAGGCTGCTTTGTTTTTGCTGTGTAGGATGATCTGTTTTCTTTATTCGAGTACTTAATTCCGGGTAGAATAACCATGGTGGAAATGGGGAGGAAGTTATTGTTTCTATACGTTTTCCCAGCTTGCTTTGTATTCTATATCCAAAAGGTTTGTTTACGTTTTTCCCTTCAAGTATTAATGCCAACATGGTTCAATGTTTTTCAACAACGGATGATTCGCCCATCTTCGATGTTTTGTCTATATTTTTCTTGAAAGCATTTGTCTTCTTATATCCAAAGGCATTTCCCCCATTTCCACCTGTAGTGATTCTGAGGAGGTTAAGGCAGCCCACCTGCGCATATCCTCAGTGCTTGGTATTGGACAGAGTCAATGGCTTTTGGTGGTAGCAGCTGCACTGTCATACGCCTCACATCCGTAATCAAAAAGAGACCTTATAAGTGCTCTGTACATTTCGAGGAGCTTCCCCAGCTTGTTCCAGTTAGACATCTTAAGATATTTAATTTTCTTTTACTTCTCGTGATTACATTTTCGATATGTGGTTGCCAAATTAACCTTTTATCAAATTATAACCCCTAAAAAGCGATGAGATTTTTCGTACATTAGCACATTTCCATTCAGTTCTATATCAGGCGGTAAAACGGCATTCCAGCTTTTCGTTAAAAAATACGGGCACTGTTTTGACAGGTGAGAGTCGAAACCCCCACTCTTCAAACCAACAAATTAAAAGATTCAAATATTTCTGTAGTTTTCAGTAATAATGTACAATGTTCCTGCCTGATATCCATATTGCGCAGTCATCTGCATACATAGATATTCTGATAGACTACGGTGAAGTTTGAATCAACAAGTTTACTACAATCTTCTCGATAAAGTATAGGACAATAAACAAAATGAGAGGCAAAGAAAATTTACTTTTATAAACAAAAATGCATATTTTTGTCTGCAGTTACCCTATACATTATAGGCCTACACGAATGTTACCCCACGCGCCTTGTAAATATCCCGTACTCATGTCAGTGTGTCATGCACAAGGATGGGGGAAGAGTAAGATTGAGATCATGCCAAGAGAGAGAGAGAGAGAGAGAAAGCGAGAGAAAGAGAAAGAGAGAGAGAGAGAGTGAGAGAGAGAAAAGAGAGAAAGAGAAAGAACAAAAGAGAAAGAGAAAGAAAAAGAAAGAGAGAAAGACGGAGTTTCGCAATACCGACGATATCAGAAATATGATGCTCATTGTCTTGAGCAAACATCGACAAGTGGCTGGCATTGTGAGCTTGTACTTGGGAATACCAGGGAGGCGAGACAAACCCTGGGAATACCCGAACGCTGTATGAATTATTATTATCATGACGGCGATGGTTCTGGTATACTAGCATTGCATTGTGAAATATTGACGTTCCATGTATGAATGATCAAAGCGCCAAAAATAAAACTCTGGCAGGCACGCTGAATAATACTCACCTATCTGCATAAAAGCAGAGGGCGAACATGCAACGAAATTATATCCAGTTGCATTGTAATTAGGTGAGACATTGTATTTAGTCTACGGTGTTAGAGAACCAACTTCTAGAACGTTCAATCACTCCAAGTAATAACAACATCATCAACCGGTGAGTAAAAGTTGTAAGAAACTCATAATGACTGTACGGAACTCTTCTTCTATAAGTGGCGGTAATATTGCTATGATTGTGATCAATAAATTCCTAACTTTATTCCTGGCCCCAGACTACACATAACCCTAAACCTGACACATAATCTAAAACTCAATCGCAACCGTAAACCTGAAATACCTTATTTTGATGAAAATTAATATAGACCAGGGCATACGTCGTATCATCCTCAGACCCCATGCGAATGATGACCAAAAAATACATACTGACTGAGATCAACACAGTCACGACCTCTTGCATACCATGATGACTGAAAATAAAGAAATCTGATGAATGAACGCTCGGTCGTGTAATGGAACATAATAAGATTGTAAAGATATAGGGCCGAAAAGAAGGCACAAAATTGGCACTGAGTAATATTAATGAGTGGTTTGCTGAACGGCCTTGTAGTAATGAGATGGCACTCGAAGACATCAGACGTTTATACGCATCTCATTAGTATATCACGTGATCTCAAAACACTTAATGTGGTCCCGTGTCTGAAGCTTCTATTCGCCTTAGCACAATATGTTCTTGTGTAGTATCATCTATAATACATAATCATCTGGAGGCATATTATGTCTTGTATGCTATTTTGGAAGTGTGTTCTCGGACAGTATTATCAGTCTGGTATATTGGTTCTGAGTTTTTGGACCTGCTGATTCTCAGATAGCTATATGGCACCATATTGTTCTTGATCTTGCTCAAGACGAATGCCTCGATCTGACAACTTTTACGTGAGCAGGAAGTAAAACTCAACATCTAACACTGAGACCGCTTTATTGGGTAGGCATTTTTTTTATAGCTGATTATTTTACCTAATATGCATGCGTGCCTCTACAAGAATAGTTCTTCAATCATAAGTGCTTTCCAGTGCAGTTTGAAAAAACGCATTAGAGGTAAATTAACATAGTCAGAATGAAGTACATGAGTTTTACGAAGACTAATTGATATAGTGCATTAAGATTTATTTTTTTTAATTAAAAAACGCCAGCAAATATTATTTTTCCTGCGAGTCGAGCTGTAATGTCATCAGTTGGCCTCAAATAATAATTATTGTAGGTCCTGTTTATTTATTTATTAATTGTTGATGTTAATATTTCCATGGTAGCAATTATACAAGAATGTATAGAACACAAGGTACAACTTCTTGTGTATAGATGAAGATGCTGATGGAAAGTTATTCGTCAAGACAGTTTGGAGTTCGTTTTGCTGCTGAAAGATGTTTATGGTGATTGCTTTAATAAACAAGATGGCATTCAACTAAATATATTTATTTGCATTGAAAAGCTATCATTGGTATTTTTGCTTCTCTCCCCGAAGTTGTTGCATCTCTGCAATATAAGTTAACTATGTTTCTTTGTATGAATGTTTTGAATTCGTTTATATCATGTTAACCTTAATTTTGTAACTTTTTTTAAATAGAATTTGCTAACGAATCGTACATTATTTTCATATGCTTTGTAATTGTGTTTTAACAAGCAGATGACTTATATTTTGTTCCTTGCATGGTGGCCATTTTTGTATCACCAATTTTACTAAAATATTCTAGTTTCCATACCGAACCATTCATTGTTATTTACTCTGTTGGTTCGTTTGAATAAACATTCTTTTTATTCACCTTGTCGTATCGTATATGTATGTATTTTGTTGATAGGGCCCCGCTCACAAGCTTAACTTCTACAGGGGTCCTAAAACCATTCATTTTATGATGTAATCAAGTTAATATATGTTGATTAATGTACTATTACCAGTCTCTTTTTCATGTAAAAGATTATATCATGTTTTGTGAGGTTTTGAATTAATGAACCTGAACCTGAATGATAGACCATGAAGAAGTTGTGAATCACCAAGTTTATTACAATATTCTCTCTATGGAACTTTCTCATTATAGTATATGACAGTATGCCAATGACAGACAAAGCAAATCTTGCTTCTATGAAAATAGGTATTGTGTTTGCAGAGTAAGTTTGCATCTTATACATGCATGTTAATTCCACGCCTTGTTATACATATAGGCCTATACATAATATCATGCCAGTGTTTCAAGGGCTGGGGGAAGTGAGCGTGAGAGAGAAAGCGAAAGAGAAAGAGAAAGAGAGAGAGAGAGAGAGAGAGAGAGAGGGGGGGGGGGGGGAGAGAGAGGGTGGTTGCAATAGCAACGATACCACATTCAGAAATATGATGCTCGCTTGATCAAACATCGACAGGAGTCTGGCATTATGACCTTGTACTTGCATGGGAATACCCGAATGCTGTATTATTCATCACGGTTTCTTGCCATTGGTATCAATATTTCTCGTACACTAGCATTGCATTGTGAAATATTGACACCGCAATGTCTGAATGATCACAGCGCCAAAAATAAAACTCAGGCATTTCTAAAGCCATGCTGAATATCATTCGCCTAAAAACCTGTATAATAAGCAGGAAACGGACATGTAGCGAAATTATATTCATCAGCATTTTACAGTGAGACATGATATTGCTCTCGGTTTTGGAGAACCAAAGCGATATTTCTAGAACGTTTGATCACTCAAAGGAACAACATCATTAACCGGTGAGTAAAAAATTGTAAGAACCTGTTAACGATTGCTCGTATGACAATTCCTCTGCCGGAGTGGGTGGCGGTAATATGTGATCAATTCCTAACTATATTACTGGTCCCATCATTACACCTATAACCCTAAACATAACAAAACCCAATCTCAACCCTAAACCTAAAATACCATTATCTTGATGAGAATGATATAGAGCATGCAGAGGATAGTACATTACGTCGTACCACCATCAGACCCCAAGCAAATGATAATGACCAAAAAATACATATTGGACTGAGGTCAACACAGTCATAATGACCTCTTTGCATAATTATGTACCAGAGAGTTGAAAATAAAGAAACCTGGCTGGAATTTACGCTTGGCCGTGTGATGAAAAATATAACATTGTAATATCCAAGATAGGGCCTAACGGAAAGCACAAAATTGGCACTGAGTAATATTAATGAGTGATTTGCTGAACGGCCTTGCAGTAATGAGATGACGGCACCAGAGGTATACACGCATCTCATATCACGTGATCTCAAAACACGACATAAATTGGTTCCCTGTCTGAAGCTTCTATTCGCCTCAGCACAATATGGTGTTGTGTAGTATCATCTATAATACATAATCCTCTGGATGCATATTAAATTGTCTTGTATCTTGGAAGTGTGTTCTTGGACAGTATAGCGGTCTGGTATATTGGTTCTGAGTTTCTGGACATGCATGTGATTCTCAGATAGCTATTTGGCACCATATTCTTCTTGATCTTGCTCAAGACGAATGCCTCGATCTGACAACATTTACGTGAGCAGGAAGTAAAACTCAACATCTAACACTGAGACCGATTTATTGGGTAGGCATATTATTATAGCTGATCATTAAATACGTTATATGGATGCTTGCCTCTCCAAAAATACTTCTTTACGATCACAAATTCTTTTTAGTGAAGGTTGAAATAATGTATTAGATGTACATTAACATAGTCAGAATTAACTATTACTAAGACCAATTGATTTAGAGCATTTATAAAGATAATAAAACGGCAGCAAATTCTTTCCTGCGAGTCGAGCTGTATATTTCCCCAAATATTAGGTCTCGTTTATTTATTTTTATTTATTGACATCGACGCAATTATACAATATGAATTGCTACCATGAATGCAGAACACAAGGTTCAACTTCTTGTGTAGAAGATGAAGATACCGATGGAAAGTTTGGAGTATGTTTTGCTTATGATAGATGTGCAAACCTGTTTTAATCTCTAATTGGAACCCTGCAAGCAGCTGAGAGAAAAAAGATTATTATGATGGAGAGCTTCTACAAGGCGTGCATGATAACGTCGATATAGTATTAATTTAACTGAAATTGTATTATTAGGGTATAAGTAGTGTACCATCATAAGAGAATTGATCTGTATAAGGAATAACAGAGAATATTCATTCCTATAAGTTCTCGAGAATGTACTGATTGTATTTCTAATCTTTATCTGCATTAGATTGGCAGATATGGAATACTGTCAGGGAGACTGCTTTTAAGGATTGTTAAGGAGTGCTGCTTTTAATGGTTTCTGTTTTGTAAATGCATGTATAGTTTATTTTAAATTGCCTCCGTATAGATAGTTCAGGGAATAGGTGTCAGTTATCAGTATCACTTCGCAGAGCAATTTATGAGTTAACCCACGGTTTATTAAACCGTGGGGGGGGGGGGAGTATTAAATAAAAGAGGGGGGGGGGGTGATTGTTTAAACGAGATTTCATTTTGTTTATTTTACTTGCAAAATTATTATTGGTATATAATTATGTTTGCTTCTCTCCTGACTGTGCTGAATCTCTGCAATATAACTGAAATATGTTTGCATGTTTGTATGAATGTTTTGAATTTTGTTTATATCATGTTAACCTCAATTTTGTAACCTTGATTTTGTTCATAATGCTTTGAATTTTAAACGAACAAAGAACATAAAAAAGAAATAAGTTTAATCAATGTAGTTGACTGAGAGAATGTAACATGATGCCGTGTGTTTGTGCTTGTTCTACTGATGTCTACCACTGCTGAAAACTAATCACTCAAATCAATTTCATTTTTCAGAAAACTGATGAGTTCTGGAGAAAAAATTGTTTACTGTGTCTGTAAAACTTTTTGCCCTTCATCCGGGAGATGGCTCATGCAGTGCATTTCTTGATAATGGCACTTTTTGTAATGCTTTTTTTAATAAAGGAGATAATTTTACTGATGTGTACAACACGTATACCGGTACATTATATTAGGAAGGGTCAGTAAAATACTGAACTAGAGAAATTATTAGAATGTGACATTATAATTAGAAGCTTCATATCAGCAATGGTTTGTTACACAGCCCCAACACACCAAAGAGACCGACACCAGAATAGGGTCAATTTTCATAAAATCTTACTAAGCTATAGTTGTCAACTAATTACATAGGATTTAATAGTTAGTTGACAACTATAGGCTTAGTGAGGTAGCCCAGATCGACAGTAGATGAAAAAACAAAAAACCAACATACATAGCTCAGAATGGGTAAGAACCGACATGGTTTGGAGTCGGTTAAGAGTCGGCTTGATTGAGGTATAAACACGAGACAATAATCTATGCAAATGAAATTAACATAAACTATCGCCTTTCCTTTCAAAAGGTACTTGACAGCTTTAACTACCTCTGGCATCCGAAATGCCAACCGAGCCACCAGAATACACCAAACTAATGCAGAATGTGGCAAAACAGATCGAATCTACTCCTGATGGACTCATGGACTTCAGAAACACTAGTCGTGCTCAGGGGCACGTCAGGGCTTTCGATCTTGACAAGAAAAGGGCATACGACATCATCAGAAATCTTCAGAAGAAGATGATTGTACATCCGGGTCAGTATGAGAAGTTTGTGGAGTTCCTAGAAATCATCGGAAGAGAGGATGTCATCAAGATGCTTCCGGGTTACCAAGACTATCAGTCTAAGGATGGAGGTATGACGATGTTGATGTTTGATGTTGATTAGTGTGTCCCGATTGCAAGAAAAGAGAGTAAATTATTGTGTATTATTAACCAATGAACATAAGTATAATGTTTAAATTCCTATCTGAGGAACTCAAGTTGTTCTTGAGGACTAATGGCTTATACAAATACTGGTTGAACTGACTTGACTCGAACCTTGAACCTTATGGTTTAAAACTTTTATTCTTCTTACTGAACCATCAAATTGGGCCAAGAAGTTACAAACACAAGCCTTATGTGTTCATTGATAAACATTCCCTCTTTATTTGGCAGGGTTTAATACAAGTATTAAAACCTATGATAAAAATCGATTACTGTAACAACTAATTGAAGAGCAATCATGGTAATATGTTATGTAATATCGAGGGCGTTGTTACGCGGCCACAATACTAATTCTTAACATCAAATTACTTTGAAAATTAAACCGTGGACAATGCTGTGTTCTAAGTCAAAGTGTTGTATGAAAACGTTTGGTGGAAGTTTACTTTACTTTTAGACATAAAGGCCTAATTCGTATGTATGTTGCTGTTTGCTAACGATTATATGGCTACTGTATTGTAACGATGATTGTGACAGCACCTACGTTGCTTAAAATATGATTGCATGATTATATCTCATTTTTTCTTTTTAAGGGAATAATAACCGAGCTCATTACAACACCATACCGGAGAAGGTTGAAACCAAAATGGCACTTCACATTCTGCAGTTGCTGGTAGGGTCACAGACATAGAAATCTCGATTCTATCGGACAGCATCCCACCAGACTGCGTGCTTCGTTTTGGCATCTTCCTCGACATGTCCTATCCGGAGATCGAGACACAACGCCGACAAGGAGGAACTACTGGTATGCTGTTTCATTGGCGAAAAAATGTGCCTGAGCGAGACCAAAGGCAACAACTTCAACAGGCACTGGAGGAGGCTCGCCTGGGTCATCTGGTGACTGATTGTTTTGGTGAGGATACTCCTGAAATATTCAAATTAAATTTATCTTACGAATCTGATCAAATTTGGGACTGAACAGATCCCAAAATGAAACTTAGACACGACTTACAGCATTGTACTCGGAACAAATAGGCGTTGTTATGACTTTCATCAGGTCAATGTTGGTGCAATGTCATACTTACGAGCCATTATAACAAACTCTTTCGCGAGGGGGGGGGGGGTGGGAGTGGGAACCAGAATCGTAGCCCTATCACTTTCAGGGATCATCTGGTGACTGATTGTTTTGGTGAGGATACTCCTTAAATATTCAAATTAAATTTTATCTTACGAATCTGATCAAATTTAGGACTGAACAGATCCCAAAATGAAACTTAGACACGACTTACAGCATTGTACTCGGAACAAATAGGCGTTGTTATGACTTTCATCAGGTCAATGTTGGTGCAATGTCATACTTACGAGCCATATATACCAAACTCGTTCGCGAGGGGGGGGGGGGGTGGGAGTGGGAACCAGAATCGTAGGCCTATCACTTTCAGGGATGAATAATGTCACGATTTTTTTCTCTTACGATTATAACCCCAGGAGAAGAAAAAAAAAATCAAAAGAAAATAAAACAAAAAGAGAAAATTCAAAACAGTATACTTTTATCCCCATCACGCTCTTGAATATATGTACAGTATGTTGTTTTATTTCCTGTTATGAATTTTACTTGCTATAAAGTTATTTCCTTTGATAGGTGACATCGTGATATAAGGAGGGAATGTGTGCCCAAGGCCTCTCCCCCTCTCCTTTCTCCCTATCTCATTGATATACACCACTGATCATGGGCACTTTAACAGTTAATACGACCATCTTTATAATAATATAAAGACACTGACTTCGCTTCTTGCAACTGAGCCATTTTATTGTCGATCGTCTTGTCTGTTTATCCAACTAATACTAACATGATGGTGTGAGGATTATCATAAATTTGCGTATTCGGCTCAAAATTATTCATTATTAATATTGAGGCCCAATACATCTCTGTTGCCTGTTACAGCCCTCAACTAAAATATGGGGCAACGTCTACCACGGTAGACGTTAAAAGAGGGGTGCTCCCATGCACCCTGGTCGGAAATATTATGACAGATATTAGTCACTTTGTTTTCATACTAATCAGTATCATAGCATGAGTTCATTAATTGAGAGGGCAGTGGATCTATTGAGGGCAGTGGATCTTACTCGTATATAATGAAATGTGACTTTACAGGCGCCTTCTTTTTGCCTTTCTCTCTCTCTCTCTTTCCCTCTCTCTCTCTCCTCTCACTCTTTTCTCGCTTTTTCTTTCTTTTCAATTTTAGGGGCACATGCCCCCTTTAGCTATCTTGCCAATAATAATAAGATAAGTCATGTATTATGCTATGTCCATCGTTTTTTCATGATTATTTTGTTTGCAATTATAGGAAATGGAAAGAATTCTTCACGCAAAGACACAGGACCTCTGAGCCGATCTTCAATTATATCTGACAAGATTTTAAGCAAGCTAGCTGGGAAGATTGGCGAAGGATGGTCACAGTTCGGCATCCAACATCTAGGCATGTCAAAGGTCGACATTGATCATTTCAAACACAACAGATCAACCGTAAGCACTTGAAAGTTTATTAAATCGGTACACCAGCGCCAGGAGGGTCAAATCTGACTGACATGAGCGCTATATTATACAAGAACCAAATATTATTATTATTACAATAAAAAGGCACCGGTTATATTCTCAAGAGGAAATTCATATTTTAAAGATATCATAGTATCTTTCTCCCTCCATTGCTTCGCTCTTCGCAACATTTAGAAACAGGATGATTTCCGGTAGCAAAGTGCCCGAATACCTCCATATTCCGGAAGCAAGCTGCGCGAACATAATAGTTTTTACATTGAAAGTACAACGAGATGCCCAAGTAGTCATATTCGTGTAGTGAGATGACCGAATATAATATGAATTTTGTATACAAAAGTCCATGTTCGGCGGCTAGGTGCCCGCATACATAATGTTATGTCTTAGTGTGTTTTGATCACAAAGTCGATTTTTTACCATGTTGAAATGATTGCCCTTTTTTCTCACGCACGCTTCGCTCGTTTTGTAACGAATATATCCATACGCGTATATTTGACATTTGACGATTGCCAAAATAATAAAAAATTAAATTTTTGCGATCCGGGTGAATTTGGGATTGGGGTGACGCGAAACTTGTTATTTCTTAAAAAGGTGCAGTGACTTTCAAAAGGTTGAAAAACGCTGACTTATTTCAAGTCGCTATCATATCACAGAGCTCATATCTTGACTAGTATAGCGACATGGAACCTCTAACATGATTAGCAAAATATTTATCATGTATGGATTTACAAAGCACATACAATCAATCTTGCATCTTAACAGTCTTATAGAGGAGCGTATACTCGTGGAATTGCAGTTACTGTTATTATTTTTTAATGCAAAGACATCTAAACAGTATCTGTTTATATGACAACATGAGCCAGTCGGCATCAGTTTACTCTAAATTAAAGATCTTCGATCTAATCAATAGTAAAGTTCTTAAATCATTTTGAATGTGTAGTACACCAATAATTGTGTGAAGCAAGAATATAGATTGATAATGGAAACATGACTGTATTAGACTTTTCATCACGATACACAATTCAGCTAGATACAGCTTTATACTTGAGCTAACATACACCCTTATATTCTGGAATCTCACTTCTTTATGAAAATTACAGATGGAGGAAACGATATTTGGCATGTTGTATGAGTGGCGTCAACGTCATCATGACGATGCAACGATTGGCAAACTACTTGATCTAATGGAGGAGAGTCCGAATATCTCACTGGACTCTTATAGCTTTATTCTAGAAGAACTGCAAAGCAGTGGTATGTAGTATGTTTACATTACGATTTTTTTCCTTGCTAATTTGAAAACACGATCTTACGTTTACTAACTGTCTATTATTTCCGCGTATTCATAATAATGAATGATTGGTACATTTGAAAATATGCAAATGAACCGAGTTGGGACACTATCAATTATAGTTGGTATGCATCAGAAATGACAATTCCATTGGATATTATTATTGCATGCACTATACCTTACTACTATAGGCTAATAGACACAACAAAATTCATTTTCACGAAGAGCATGATCAGGCGCGTACGCGGGATTTTTTCAAGGGGGGGGGGGGGGGGGGGGGGGGGTAAGAGGTCACTTTTTTTTGGGGGGGGGGGGTCTCGAAATTTGAAAATTTGACATTTTGCTCCGTTTGGGGGGGGGGTAAGATCAGCTTTTTTAGGTTAGTCATGGGAAAAATTTTATTTGTTTTAATTTTTTTGTAATAAAAAAAAAAAAAAAAAAAAATCAAAGGGGGGGGGGGGGGGGTTTAGGAGGGTTTGGGGGGGGGGGGGTTTACACAAAAAAAAAAATACCAAAGGGGGGTTTAAACCCCCCCCCCCCCCCCCCCCCCCCGTGTGTACGCGCCTGAGCATGATACATTCGTAGAATTGTGTACATTAGGCTCTGGTGAAAATCTTTTGAGGTTTATAATCCATAACGAAAAAGTTTCATTTAAAGAAAAACATACCGGTAACCTTGTTTGTCTATTCTTGATCTTTTTCAGATCTACACAGTGAGCATTGCGAAAGAATATGCGACTTAGTGACTGATATCATGACAAGAGCGTCATCAAGGTGCTAACAAACACAGGACTATTTATTTGTCGAGTATTATACCTACATTCCAGTTCCGTTGTGTATTAGTGATCCAGAAGATGTGTTCCCTCAAGATTTTGTCTATGAACTCAAAGATATCGCTGGTGTGTGGCCTCGACTCCTTTGAAATCTCTCCTTCTAAATTGTTGTATTTATTATTTTGTGCGCGAAGTCGTCCCCGATACTTAACTCCATTAAAACTGAAGCGGCACTGGAGATCGTTGGCCATATTTTGTACATAATCTTGAGAATAATATTGTCTATAGTTTGAAGTTTGCTTCATGATTGCACCCATGTTCATCCGAGTATTACTATTTGAAACCATGTAAACCAAACACTTCCTAGCAACCACCATTCATCATTACCTTGCATAATGCACCATTATTTATCATTATTTAGCACAATAGTAAATTAAAATTGTTATACTGATATTCAGATGGATTTGATGACATCTTGATTTATGTGTAATTGTATAATGGTAATTCGGATGAAGTTGTTTGAAACTAGTATGTGTCCTATATTGTGTAGACAAACTCTTTATTATATATTCAGACCTACGAACGATGCAACATCAACTACCCTTTATTGATGTTGCATCGTATGCATAAGTTTGAAGATCGATATTACATGGAAAACCATATTGAAAAAAATAAACCAATATATTAGTATTAAAATTGGTATCAATAGTTGTATAGACTCAGAAATTTTGTGTCCCAGAAAATGGTGATTTTATATACAAAACTTTGGTGCACCCCCCCCCCACATTACAGATGGAATTGAAGTAATAGGTAGCACTTATGAAACAAATCTAAAATGTATAATGTTAAGTTTTTAAAAATGGCTCTACACGCTATCACATTTAGTTTGTTAATGGCACATTCAAAACCATTACTTACAAAATAACAGATCTTGAACGTGTACCAAATGCACAAACTTATTATTTGTAGTTTAATTAGAATTAGTAAATGTAATTTTTCCTCATTCACTACCAAGGGAAAGTTTTCAATTTCATGTGGAATGATCCCCCACAAAGCCATCCACATAATTGCTATAGG